CTCCATAGTCCTCTTTGCAAGACATGGCACGCCTTCCTGTTTGTCAAGACGGCATTTGCAATTTCCGGGTGTCTTTCTGCTGTCCACCATTGCTAACAAGGAGCAGCTGATCTGGTTTTGGGTGGCTGCCAATGCCTGAGATTACCTCAGATGCCTCCTTCACAACAATACTAACAAAGAAGGCTTGAACAATCCACAAGTATCCTTGTGTGGGGACTTTTAATGCTGCTGCATCTGCTAGAAAGCTGATTCAGTCACATGATCACAAACAGCTGTTGCATTCCATTCTTAATGCATCATGACATTCAAAGTGGAGGAGTGGAGAATGTTGGAACAGATTATGAAAACTGACTGCACAGGGTGCCCCAAATACACAGCAGCAAACAGATTCTCATTTCAGGAAGCGAAAACTTTACTAAGACTTGCAAAAATGATTCATGGGTAAAAGACTTTGGTACAACCAATATCCTCCAGTTTCCTTCACCTTGTGCTTCTAGCTGTGTAGGACTAAAGTTGCCATTATCCCCAGATAGCACAGCCAAATGGCTGGGGACAAGAGAAACGGCAATTGACCACATTGGGTGGACACCATATCAAAAGTACCAGGGATCTGAATGCAAAGTACTGAGCCTTGAACCTGAACGCCTTCCTTTCTAGTATGTTGCATAGACGTACAGTGACCTGTCTTGGTAGACAGATACTGTCAAGTTGGTCATGAAAATAAAATAGGGTGGTTAGACTTGTTAGAACACAGTTTTGGGCTCCTTGCGGAAGGCAGATTATAAGTCTCTGAGTACACAAGTGCTGCATGTTACATTATGTGTATGCTGAAGGGGAATATACATGCCACATCCTACTGGGATTCCTGTCTTTGGCAATTATATCTCCTCTTCCTGTACCCATTGATTTAGGCATCACTTAATCTGTGTTTGAGCAAGAGAAACTGATACATATTTTTGTGACATATACAGTCAAATCTTTGTAACCAACAGTGAATTTCTGGCAAATCCCAGGGTCCATTGGAGAAGCCAAAAAGTGATTGTAGGACAATCTCATTGTGCAAAAGCAAAGAGTTTATATGGCCTGTTTTTCTAACACAACATGTTGTGTTAGCTTTTGAAATTTGAGAAGCTTGAGCCCAGTGAATTCCAGTGAAAGTGCAAAATTCATCACTCCTTCAGCTCACAAGTCAACAACCTGTGTAAACTCCCAACCACATCTTTGTCAATGCTCCTTAGTCATGTGCACTGGCAATGCATTGCTGCCTTCCCAAGATGGCCTCTCTCATGTGGAGAGTGCCAAACTTCCTAGCAATGTGCTTGACTTTTGTCCATGTGACCTGCAACAGTTGGAGACCACCAAAATGAATGATGAACTGTTGAATCCTTTCCTTAACTCCCGCAGTAAAGGTAGTGGCAATGGGATGGACTTCTCAAAAGTCTGCAGCTATGCTAGTCATGAAGTCACATCCAACCCATCGCGACCCCATGGACAACATTCCTCCAGGCCTTCCTGTCCTCCACCATCCCCTGGAGTCCGCTTAAGCTCACACCGACTGCTTCAGTGACTCCATCCAGCCACCTCATCCTCTGCCATCCCCTTCTTCTTTTGCCATCTATTGTTCCCAGCATCAGGGTCTTCTCCAGTGAGTCCTTCCTTCTCATTAGGTGGCCAAAGTATTTGAGATTCATCTTCAGCATCTGGCCTTCTAAAGAAGTCTGCAGCACTGTACGTTATAAAGGCACCAGAGTTTGGAGTTGTACTTGGAGTTTGAAGGTTTTGCTCCTCTCAGAGGAAAGTTTATTTTTTACAGAACCTGAGTCCTGTTTTACTCCCTATTATAAAGTTTCAGCCACCTCATTTCTCAGTATGTTTTTCCAACCTTGATATCTTTTTCTTTCTATGAAATAGAAAGACTGCAAATGTAGAGAGAAAAGTGGGGAACTTACAGTTGAGATCAATTAGAGGGGCATAAGAAGAGCTCTTCTGAAAAGACTGGATAGACCCAAGAGGTCCATCTGGTCTGGGATCCCATTCCACACAGTAGTCAAACGAATGGCTCTGGAAAGCCCACAAGCAGGACAGAAGGGGATTAGCTCCCCTCCACTGGTGAGGATTCCCAGTAACTAATACTAGTGCAGGTTACCAGCTGATGCTGAATCTTCAAGTTAGGAAGACGCATATCTGAACCATCCCCAATTCAGTTACTGACCAGTTCTCAATCTGAACATATGCAGGTGAGGAATAGCTGTCTGAACTGGCCTTAAACAAGTGTTTGAGCCAATGATCATTAGTATAACTATCAATTTTGTACTAGTGATGGCCTAAGAACCTTCACCTTATATAAGGTTTTGCTGAAATCAGGCTACAAAAACATACAGTTGGCAGCCATGTCGGTTGTTTAATCTGGCATGCCAATTTCCCCCAAAGACATCCAGCAGGCTAACAGCTAAACACCTGCATAGACAGAGGCTCTTTTTTCATTTCTTTTTCTGGCCCAGCTCAAACTATGCTTGTGTTTTATTTAACCCGGGTTCCTTTTCTAAAGCATTTCCCCCCTGGGTGGTCTTTATCCTGAAAGCACTTGCAATAGCTCTTCCCTGCATGGCTGTGCCTCTTCAAATCATTTTGAACCTTGAGATCATTACTCATTTCTCACTGTAACATCTCTCAAGAAGTATCATATTGCAATGCAAGGGTTATCAGCATGGATATGACTGCATTTCAAAACATCACTAATAGAGACAAAAATCCTTTCCCCTCTTCATTCTTCCCCCCACTGAAAAAAAGTTGTTTTTTTAAAAATCCACTTTCATGTTTACTTTACCCTTTGAAGTTTTTCCTTTAATTTTGATTTATTGCAGCTATTTACTTTGGACTCTTTGGCATTTGAATTTCTATTTGATCAAAGACATTTCTCCTTTGACAGTAGAAAGCCCAGTCCATGAGTTGGATCTATCATACCTCCTGGGAAGGAGGTAAAGGACCTTTAGAAGTGGTAGAGTACTCCACCAAGTATGAAGGAGGTCTCCCAGCTGGGGTTGGGACACTCATGACCCTACGTATTTCTGTCCCACTGGAGTCAGTGAGATGGAAAATGGCACAGGTCGCACTGACCTTCCACGAATGCCACAAATCTCCCCAGAACCATTGCTCCATTAAGAGAGTCAAATTTAGGATTGGCACAACTGGACTTACCAAAGTGAGTTAAAATCTGCTGTGGATCCCGCAACCAGATCATTCTTACAAGTATTGAGCCAGAAGCAGGTTCAACAGGCAAAAGTCCTGGATGACTATAGGTACAGCAGAGGTCTTCCTTTCATTGCATATCATTGGCACTAGTGACTATGGGGTACAAGTCTTTTCTTATCCTACTGCTGTATTCATTTCAATGTATTTTTAAAGGTGCACTTATATTTGAAATGTTTTAGCACAGCCTGGTGGACAAGCAGTGTAATTCTGCGGGAAGCGGGACATCTTCTGGCACTGGAGACACACAAGCACCTGTCTAATTTAATATCTTCCTCTCCTCGTTATGGTTCTATGTCTTTCTTCCTTCATTGCTATGGCTGGCTATTTTAATGACATCCTAACCAACTTCTGCAATGAGGAATCTGCCTGGATGCCTTTATTTCAGAGCCCCCTTTTCATATTGCAAAACCAGGTGGCATCCTAGTTTTCTGGGAGTGCGGGCAATTAAATGGCAAAGGTAATGATTAGAGAGATGGTGGAAGACAATGGAAAGCATCTAAGTCACAGCCCACCTACCCTTTCATGGTGGTGACAGCAAAGAAATCTTACTCCACTATCACTGTTATATCCATGAAAAGTTGGCCAGGTGAGATGCTTTGAATGGTAGGGTGCTTTATATAGCTCGTCCTTGAGATGAATTGGAGGATATCCATTTGCAAGACAGTTCACAGATAAAATCATTTAGGGCTCCTTCGAATGACCTCCATTGTGGATGCATGCAAGCTGCCAAACTCAGGCTTCATGGATCCAAAGCATGGAGTAAGGAGGGGTGAATGTCACCTAGCAGGTCATTTTCAGCCATCTAGATAATGCTCTGGGGATGGGGGAGAAGGAGGGAGTTTGGGGCACTGATGGGAAAAAGGGTAAGTCATTGATGTCTCCCTTTCTCTCTTTCTTATATTTATATCCTACCTTTTTTCCTGTCAAAGAACTCAAGACAGCTTACCTAATTCTCCTGCTCCTTCCAGTTTTATTTTCAACAACAATATGGAGAGCTTCAGCTATGGGCAGTTTATAAATGAAATTAACAGCAACAGCAACCCTGTGAGGGTAGATTGGGCTGAGTGTCTGTGACTGATCCAAAGTCACCCAATGGGCTCAGTGACTGAGTGGGGACTAGAACCCAGATCTCCTGAGTTCCAGTCCCATGGTCTTAATCAATGCACCACATGGCTTTCAAGTCATTGGTGGACTGGACTCGTCCACTCGTCCTCCCACCTGCTCCCTTGTGTGGCCCTTTTCCACGTCTCTGAGACCAGCCACAAAGAGACAGCCCACCACATAGAGGTAGGGGGGTTGTCTTCAGTTCCGAACTCTGAGGTCACAGGACCGTGGAGTGAGGATTTGGGATGATTCTATGGCCCCAGGCAACATAAGGAGGCCGTAGAGTTGTATCTGTCCATACTCTGATTGCACATTGATTATTGGGTGTCTTGTTTCTGTTTTAGGCTGGCTTTTGGCCTGGTTTTTGGGAGTGAAATGGCCTTGTTTATTTGCCCAGATTTAGATAGAGGAAAGCCATGGTTGTTGGTTCAGCTGGACCTCTTAATCATTTAAGAAAACATTGTATATTTCCCTCATCCAGAGTAACATCAAGAACCCCAAACAAATTGCACATCCAACATTACAGAGCCTGTCATATTTAGTTTGGCTCTGATACATTTTGCATTGGAAAAACCATCCACTTATGTCAATCTCCTAAAAAAAACCCATTTTCAGCTGATGTCACATTTTCCATATTAGGAAGGTTTTTTAAAAATTGATACATTATTTTTATTTCAAAGTAGAAATAATCAGAAATATAATACATATAAATGTTTGTTCATATAAAACTGAAATCTGCAACAAACATTCAGAAAGCATAGCATATACAAAAATAAAAAAGAGGGAAAATCTTGTAAGAATAATACCATGCAAGTCAGAATATTATTTCTTTAAAACCCAGCTGTCCTAACATGTAGGATCAAATGTCAACTGAACAATGTTTCTCCACAATTTTGTAAAACATTCAGTGTTCATAACTTATGTTTGTTGGAGTTGAATGAACAGGTGAATTCCTGTGAAAACAGTGACATCCTGAGGCTGATTTTAGACGTGCAAGCTTAAAGTTGATGAGAATCTTGGTACATGGTAATGGATCTGTGAGAGGACAATGGATCTGTCACATGTACCTTAGCTTTATGAACTTTCAGTCATGATCTCGTGATCTTTTATCAGTATCTTAAGATCCAGATAGCCTTAAATATACTCTGCAGGATCACAGTCTATTCTGTTCAATATCAAGGAATGCTCTAATATCTATAATAGGCATTGCACATTGTGTGTCCCATTTCAATACCAGATCTACAACTACCTTTTGCTCATAGAGGCCACCAGCAAGGACTTTTCACCCCACCCCGCTTCTTCTGCCCCCTTCTTCACTGTCCATCACTGTGATCCAAAGAACAAGATATTAGGTGTAGCCAATGTGATTTTTTAAAATTCCTTTGCCTCTTTCACTAGTTTCTAGTTTCATTTTAAAACTGCTTAGTTTAAAAAGTGTGACGTGGTGGAATGTTACTTGAGAAATATGCTTCCTTTGGACATGAAGTACTGGTTGTTCTCAGTGGCAGAGTGGTACATTTGGAATTTATCGTGGCATCTGCAAGGAAAGCCCAAGAATTCAGCCTGCTCACCCTACAAGATAGAGTTCCAGCAGTCTCCGTCTTCACTAGGAGCAGATTTTTTGGAAAGTGAATGCATCTTAAATACCCATTCAAGATCAACCCATCCCCATCCACTTACTTTGTATTATCAAGGGAATAATTTAAAAAATCATTTTTCCTAGGTACTTTAAGAATTACAGTTATATGCACAGGAAACAGGGAAGCCTGAGGATATAATAGTTGATGTCAGTGTCTCCTATAATAATAGTAAAGGGTTAGGGTTTTACTTCTAGGATTAGCCACTACATCATTGGTTGAGTTGTGGATATTTCCCCTTTTAACCAAAAAGTGATAGGTTAGCTAATCTGCACACTGTCTATATTTTTTCATGTTAAAAAATGCAAAAGGTTTTCTTATCTCCTTTGTATTTATCTGAAATTTCATTAAAAATAACAGCCCGATTAAACAAAAATTTAAAGAATACAACTTATGCCATACAATCAAAATACCAAATCTACATACAAACCCCCTCAAAATTCACAGTACACTAAAACTATCCACAACTTTCATCTATTTCACACCATACAGTGGAGGAAACAATTCTTTCAAGGTCTTATTAAAAGAGGTTGCAACTCAGAAGGAAATGCCCATATTTTGTTCTGTTTCAATTTACTGCAAATGCATGGAGACCTTCAACTGGAAGGGTTCAAAAGGACTCTAGGCTACTTCAGTTAAGATTGGATTTGAAGGTCCATTAGAAGAACTTTCTGCTTGGCTAGAACCATCCTTGGGTTTGGAATCATCAACCATTTCCTTATTGTTCATAGTTTCTTGAACTGGAATGCAGAGATCACTTGCAACCGAATGAGCTTCCTCATCTTTCTTTATATCATTCTGAATATCCACTTTGTGTTCTGGGCATTGCGTCTTTTGCAGTTCTCCATTCTGGGAAGGATACATGCTCGCAACAGCATCATATAGAAACTGATAATCTTCCTACATTGGATTCAAACAAAACAGAACAAACAAAAAGGAATTAAAATATATACAAAGTAATTCGTTCATCCCTATGAATGATCTCTGTCTTCTCCCAAGTGGTTTTCTCAAGTGGGAGGGAGATGAAGCATGCAGAAAGGTGCAAGGTGTGCTATCTGGACCTACTAACTCACCACCATCCATTATTCTTAAAACTGTCCTATTCAGACTGACTTGGAAGGAACCCAGGGTTCCTCCTAAGTTTCTTGTGGGTCTCTAAAAGAGAAGTTTAGTAGTTCAGTAAATGTGGACAAGCTACCCTGGAAGAGCACTTGCCCACCATTGTTCACCTGTTCCTCACCTGTAGTACAGCAAAAGCATGACAGGCCCAGGAAGTACCCCCTACATGTGTATGTGCCCTAGAACAGGTGGGATAATCCTTTGCAAATATGAAGGACTTGGTCTAAACTGTGCAGCTGAGGCTTCAAATGCATATGCCTGCAAACTGAGCTCTTCAGCAGAGGTCCCCCCACCCAATGTATGCCCCTCCCCCTGCAAAGCTTAGACAGGGCATTCTTGGTGGTGGCTACAGAATTCCATTCCTGGAGGCAGCTTTTTAGCTTGGTGTCCATTGTTCTCCCCTTTTAACAGAAAGCTAAAACATTCTATTTAGATTTGGAAAGGAACCAACATGATTTTCTTACTGCTTTGCTGATATTACATTCTGTTTTATGTGTTATCTTAATTGTTTGGTTCTTGTATTTTATTGTATTAAGCCATTAATACCACCTTAGATTTTGTGGTATTTTAATAGTGGAATCACATTCATGACTACTCAGAAGTAAGTCATGTTATGTTAAATAGGATTTACTTCTGGGTAAATGTGCATAAGATTGTAGCATAAAGGACGGAGGACAGAAGAAGCTCAATCTCCTGATTTGCAGTAACATTGACAGTATTATTACAGAATAAGGAGGAGGAGGAGGAGGAACCTGAGTAACTTGTAGTATGATTTACTTACAAAGGAAGTAACCATTCCTGGCCTGGCTTTACGAAGAGATTTCACAACTTGGAAAACATCTATTAAACCTTCAGTCTCAGCACTTTCCAGGAGGTGCATCAAGGCACAAAATACTCCTGTTTGCTCAGAACCATCTCTGTAAAATGACATTCCAGGAAATCAACACAGTTAGTATACAGCAGAAATAAGGCCGCAAGTACAGGAGAGCAGGATGCTTCATAGGTTCAACGTTCTATACAGCGAGATTCATGGCATCCAAGTTTACTCATGTGGGAACTCATTACAAGCCATTGTGCAGTGTCAGTGGAGTAACTAGCCTGGGCCTGGACTTCACTGATACGCACCATCTATCTTTGTGCAGAACCCGGACAGAATCACAAAACTGGTTTCCTTCCTCAGGGTATAGTTTTAAAAGTCTTGCTAATTCTTGCTGCATTTCAGATTGCTCTGCAAATCTTTTAAAACACATCAGTGGTTCCCGAGGAAGGAAGCCTCTTTCAGAAGCACATCAGTTTTGTACCATTTTTCTTGGCTCTGAGGAACATTTTCTGAGTCTTGAATTGTCTGTGAAGGACGCTAATAGTGTCTGTGAAGGACACTAGATTATTCAAGATGGTGAAAATCCAAGAAGATTGTGAAGTGCTCTGCAAGGTTCTCTCTGAACTGGGTTAATGGGCAACAAATCAGCAAATGAAGTTCAGTGAAAGAAACTGTACAAAGAAGCAGTTTCTAGAAATAGCACCCTAACTTCAGACCCCTCTGCTATATAGGTGAACTAGTGGCGAATAATCAGGAAAGAGATTTTTGATGAAAATGTCAAATCCATGTGTGACACTGATACAGATGGTCAGTTCCATGCTAAACATTGTTTGGAAATGGATCTATAAAAAGATCTATAAAAAGATGCATCTATAAAAGTGTTATAACATTTTTATCTATACCAGTGATGTAGCCACATTAGGAATATGGATCTGCAGCTGGAAAAAGAGCAGAAAGGTTAACCAAAAGATAAGAAGTTGGAACATCTTTACAGGAAAAATTAATCTGATTACATGACAGGGGGTGCACGATGGAGGTCTATAAAAACAAAGGTACTTCCAGAGGTACTATTTTTTAAAAAATCTTTCAGAAGTATGAAACACTTATTGCAAAGAGAAAATGGTATAATTTCACACCTTCCTTCTTGACTTTCCAGCAGCCTTTGGGTGGATATTGTCAAGAAACAGGCCATTGTACTAGATAAAGCTTTCCTAAGCTGGTGCTTTCCAGAAGTTCTGGATTTCAGCTGTCAACAGTCCTAGCCAGCATTGCTGAAAGCTAGGGATGATGGAAGTAGCAGTCCAAAACATTTGAAGAAGAGTGGTGAGGGAGGATGGGACGGTGACCTATGCCAGGGGTATGCAGAAGGTAGATCTCCAAGTGTTTTCAGTTTCAACTTCCAGAAGCCCCTGTGGGCAAGAATTGCCCGGAGGTGAAGACCAAAACATCAAGAGGTCTATATTGTGCTCACCTCTGATTTAGATGAATCCTTGATTTAACTTGGAAAAGAACATGAGAACACTGACCACAGATTTCTTTGTAGCAACCTTTAAGCAAGACTAATTTATCTTACTACTGATAAATTTAAAGCCAGGAATTTTGAACTTGCAACCAAAAACAAATCTAGGCACAAAACATCTAGAAATATTTCCATAACTGTACCCACCGGCAGTGAATGACAACTGGAAAATTCTGGGTGAACTTGATTGCATTAGCTGTTGGATCTAGTGCTGGAAGCTTATGTTTCAAATTCTGGATCATGTTGACTATTTCTTTGGGGTTTTCTGGGGGACAAAAAGCTTTCCATTTATGGTATTGATACTGAAACACTTCATGGGTCTCTTTCCTCTGCAAGAAACAGATACATCAAGAGATGACAAAGTGGCCCATGCTGATGAGAACCATTTAGAAGAGGAGATTAATGGCACCTACACATAGCAAAATATATATCAGGGAGCCTCTTATGAAGAAGTTGAACTAATTCATTATTTGTCCTTTAAGGAGACAGACAAGAAAAAAACCCTGAACAATGTGTCATTAAAAAGATTAAGTAACGCTAGGTAAAACTGAAGGAACTGCCTTATATCTGTGTAAAAATAACTTTTAATTTCTTCGCTGCACACTTCACATAAAAAAGAGATACTTTTTCTTATTTTAAGGTAGCTCTTAGGTTGGCCAGAAACAACACTGGCAAGGAAATAAATTCATGCACACCTCAGTCTACAAAATTTGGATTAGAGCAGTGGCACCATCACCGTTTTTTATTAAAATTATTTCATTTCATTAGTTTTTAGAGGCAGATAGATGGAAAGGAGAGTAAAAGGAGGAGGAGAGGAGAGAAAACAGGTGGAAAAACTGAAAGAGACATGACCAGCATAATTAAATAAGTCCTGTTTTGAAGACTACTATTAAACAAGGATCTGAAATATTGAATGCTACTGACTGATGCCATACTGAACAATGCCTCTTTCCAACCACTTGCAAATTCTTTTAAATAAACTCTTGTTTGTCTCTCACCCAGGTGGGACATGTCCTTTCTTTGTCCCTCATTGATTGTGGATATGAACATTTCCATGCCACAAGCATCATGCCTAGGTGTCGTCAAAATGCTCCTGCCCTGATCTTAATTTCTCCTTCACAAACTTGAAATAACATCCAGATTTGTTTTACTGTAATATGAACTTATAGCAACAACCAACACACACAACAGAAACCAAAGACAGAATTCAGTCTATAATCCTATGCACACTGAATTCAATGGGGATTGCTTCCATGTAGAGATATATAAGAATGGATTGTACCTCTCTCTCTCTCGCTCAGTCTTTCCTCTTTAAAACAATGCAACAAAATCCAGAGAAATGATGGAGGAGTCAAATATTATTTTACCTTCACATGGGTTAGCTGAAATGTTCGGACAGTGTAACTGGAACAACAGTTGACCTCTTTTAGTTCCACCAGGAAGTCATCATATCGTTTTTGTCCTTCTTCCCAATACTGTGCACAGAGTTCCTATAAATGAAGAAAAGCTATTGTTAGTCCTTTCCAAACTGCTGTGCAGGTAAAATTGAGTGTAAAGTCCAGGTAGGAAGGTATTTGCAAAGAAAAGACTAGCTGGCTTCAAGCTAGCTGTTGAAGAAGATCATCTTAGTAGCCCACTGTTGTTCTCTTTAAAAAGACTGAAATTAATAAAGCACACAAAATATGAAATAACTAAAAAAATTCCAGTCAAAGACCATAAATTCAACATAAATTCAACATGCCTTTAAACACCTGGGCATAGAGGAAACTCTTGACCTGGCATTGAAAATTTGCCAGTGTTGGTGCCAGGTTAGTCTTTCAGTGAGTGGCATTACGCAGTTGGGGGATCCATTTCCTTGCCATCATCCTCTGCATCTTCACCAGAGGTAGCACTTTTAGAGACCCTCAGACATTTTCAAAGTGCATTAGCAGAGCTATTCTGGGAGTATATGCACTGATGCTTGCATGTGCATCATATGCATGGAAATGCACAAGATAATGGTGCCCTTGAAGGGCAAAATGCCTCCAGGTCATTCAGGCTTAAGAGCGGCTGACAACCCCCCCCCCCCCCACCACAACCATTGTAAGACAGCTGTAATAGTACTTCACTATGCATCCAAGGCAAAGTTGAGCTGAAGACACAGCAAGATGAGCAGCGGTGAGCAAAACAGCAGGCAAAGGTCACTCATAGCATATGTGCCAAATGCCTTTTCCCAATGACATATCTCTTGGTTTGTTGCTCCGAATCAGAATCCTCAAATACTTACCTGGGTGTGCATCAAGTAAGCCCCATGTAACACAGTGGGACCTACCCCTGGCTGACCATGCATAGGATCAGGCTGCACATCTTTTTTGATGGATGCATTTTCCATGTTTGGAAATTAGATCTGTGCTTCAGGTTAGAGAAACTGAATGCCAGCATTTCTCTGCAGTTGCTACTTATTATGCTATACGATGATAAAGACTCACTCACTTGAGTATCATCTTTCAACTCAGTTAGCATAACAATAACTTTCACTTTTCTTTGAAACACCATGCTCCAGAAGTCACCAATGGTTTCTGGAAGTGGTCCTTGCGCCGCTATTATTGCAGAGTGAAGCCAGTAACCCTGTAAAAACCAAGCTGAAGTCATTCCAAAGCAGCAGGGATGGGGAGAGACACATTTCACTCAACAGATACTAATTTTAAAGTAAGTTAAGGAAGGGCAAACAACTGCCTGAATTTTCTTCTATATACTTAAGTTCAAATTCAAGGCAAATATTTGGGTTGAAATGTGTATTCATACATGTTTGGACTGGAAAGAGATCAGAAGGAAACAGAGAAGACAACTTGATATAGACTTATTTAGCTCCTGTGATATGAAATCCAAGGAAGGAAAAGGTCATGAAGAAACATGGGATGATCCATCATTTCCACTAGTTGACAAAAGGGGCAGGCACCAAACCTTCACAAGGAGGTGTAGAGCTGAATTCCATTTCAAAGAGACTCTCAGGGTCTGTGTTCTACTAGAAGGCAGGGCTAGAGGGAAATGGCTGTGGACCACAATACTTCGGTATTTTAGTTTAAACCTTTTACTGACAGTAGCTAAGCTTTAAAAGTGGCATTCCAACCTTTGAGAATTGGTGGTGGGGAAGCTGCAAAAATACCTGGAAACCACCAAGTGAGGACAGGGCAGGGTGAAGAAGGACTGGGTCAGGAGAAGGAAGTGTGGCCATCAGAGGATCCAGAGATAAGTGAATGGGATCCCAGGAAGGCAGAATTTGACCCTCAGACCTGGGCTTCTCTACCCACAGTCTACACAATTATTCTTATTGCACCAAAATCAGAAATACTTGTTGCATTGTCCATATCAAATTCATACAGTTATTGTTGTTGTTGTACATTTATATCCCACTTTTTTCCCCTTGTGAGGAGTCCAAGGCTTACAAGGCTGTCCTCCCCTCCATTTTATCCTCACAAAAACAACCTTCTGAGGTTGGCTGAGAATCCACGTTGGGCCCAAAGTCACCCACCGAGCATCAGGAGTATAACATAGGTAAGCACTTTTAAATCCCATTGATTTTAACTGGAAGCTAAACATGTGCTGACTCTCTGAAATCAATAGGAAGGGCCAAAGAGCATTTAATTATGGTTAGATCTTGTACATGTGATTGTGCAACAGAGACATTTGCATGCATACAATTGTACAAAGTATCTGAAAATGATACATCAGCAAAGTATTTCTAAAATATTATACAGACAGCTAGAATCAGTGACCATACAGACACCGAATCACAGCCATTTGGCATTTTAAATCATCCACCTTACCCAATTCCAGACCTTTAGTTTTAGCAGGAAAATCTCCCACCTGCAAACCATTATTTTAACATTACAGCCTGTGTTTTTATTTGGCAAAGAGATAAAAACTGATTCTTTTGTGCTGCCAAAAAATGTAACCTGGATTGAAACTGATTAAAAACAACAATAACCATACTGCATTCTTTCCTCAAAGTATCAGCCTCATATGCTTTTGACTACTACTAAGAAAGTGATCTTGTGTTTGAAATGGCATTGCAGCATAATGCACCCTTTGATTTGTTCCTTAGAAAAATCTAAACAATGCCCAAGAGCCTGTTTCCCTTATTCATAGTGGAAGACACACATTTAGATAACAGCATGTCTCAAAAGACAGTGCCATCCATCAGAGCGGTGAAAATGTCATATGCAAAATACTTCATATACTTTATTAATCTTCTCCTGTATTCCACACTCACCATTAGACATGGGAGTTAAAATTTTCCTTCACCTTGTCATGATGTTATATACTACCCCAGGCTTAGAGTAGAAAGTAGAAAGTAGAGAAAGGGTTATGGTAAATCCCCAAACAAGACATGATCGGATCACAGTTGCCCTCTCTGCCAGGGAAGAACTGCAGGTACAATCTCCTGTCCTCACCTGCTTGGGAGCTTCCCATTGACATCTGGTTGACCACTGGTGCTAGCAGGCTGCTGGCCTAGATGGCCATTTGGCCCATGGGGTTCAGCTGCGAAAGAGGACAGAGCTCCTGCAACTTTAGTGGTTGCTTAGAAGGGAGACTTTCAGTCAATGCAGCTCATCACAGGAGCAGAAATATTCAGGAGCGCTATCTTCTTTCAAGAGCTGAGCTGACTCAGACCAAGGACTGCCCTAGTCCAGCATTCTTATCCCACAAAAGCTAACCAGATGTCCCAAAGGATATCGTACCAGAAGAACATGAGTACAAAAGCATCGTTCAACTCATGTTTCCTAGCAACTGGGATTCAGAGGCATACTGCCTTCAGTCTTGGAGGTAGGTTTGAGCCATATAGCTATCATGAGTAGCACCAATATGTTTATCCCCCATGGATTTGTCAAATTCTCTCTTCGAGTCACCCAAGCCAGCCACCATGGTTTGAATATGGACACCCAGCTTAGGTCTGATCCAGCAGGACTTTTATCTTCCTACAAACATCAGTTATGGGATTGGGGACAGCCTCCAACTTTTCACCTTTCTTGTAAATATAAGAAAATCATTTAGGGTTCTATGGCATATAAAGCATTATATGCATTAAATGGTTTTGAACAGTTACATGAATGTGACTTAAAAGCCAATGAAAAACTGGCAAATTCTCCAAACACACATACAGGTATGTAGGAAGCATTGATGTATCTGTTGGGTTCATCATCACAGTCACTTTCTTCATCAGAAGATCCAGTGGCATCAGTTTCACTCTCTCTGTTCCCCTCGTCTTCATGCTTGAACATGACTCTGTTATAGTCATCTGCACAGCAAGAGGCCAGAACAAAGAAATCTTTAGATACTTTCACAGAGCACCAATCACTGCTCTTTCACAGAACACAAGTGTGCAAAATGTAGTACATCTGCTCATGAAGGCACTACACAATCCAAAAGTGGGGTCCACATCAAAATGCCTATTCACTCAACCATGTTCTCTTTCAGAAAACTCAATTTCAATCATTCTCACACCCAGTTTTCTGCTGCGCTGTCCAATGTTCAGTCAGCAAGCTTTGTCCATATAGCTTTCTAAGTCCTGGTTAAGCTGTTTTGGAGGGCCTTATCTCAGGGTTTAGATTAAATTTTGGATCCCCTAAAGGTTTTTGTGTAAGCCTTCATTTGGCGGTTTTGAGAGGTGCCCACTAGGTTTTCCTTCCAAAGAATCTTTGTGATTCTGTACATCTTACCATTCCCTTAAAACTGTTGATGTATCCCTCTAGGTGATGCTGTGGCAGTTGCTTACATAAGGACATCAGAAAAGCCATGCTGGATCAGACCAAAGGTTCATCTAGTCCAGCACTGCATTCAGCTGGTAGCAAACCAGCTGAGCACAGAATCCTTCAAGCAGGATGGGTGCAAGACTTCCTCCTGCCTAAGCTCTTCAGCAACTGGTATATTCAGCCATGCCACCTCCAGTAAAGGAGCTAGCCCTTAGCCATCAAGGCTAGTAGCCACTGATGGCCTCCTTCCCCATGAATCTGCCCAAGCCCCTTTTAAAGCCATTCAGATTTGCAGCCACTTCCATAGTTCAACTCTATGTTGTGTGAAAAAGTACTTCTTGTCCTAAACCTTCATGGGAAGACCCCAGGTTCAAGTGTTCTGGGAAAGGGAGGAAAATCTCACCCTCTCCATTTTCTCTGCCCCATGCATAAATTAAACTCTACTATCATGTCTCCCCTTCCTTGCCTCTTTTCTAAACTGAACAGTCCTGGCTGGAAATAAAGGGACCAGTTTTCTATTCATACATGAAACAATCCATGTTGCTTTGTGCTCTTTCCCAGTATTCCCATTCCTTAACCATTACTCCCCCCCCACCCCGCCCACACCTTCTTAAACAACTATGCTGCCCTTTATACCTGCATCTTACTCCTAGCATAGCTACAGGTTGACATGTCTCTCTCCTCCCCATTACAAATCTTGAGTCCTTGTCCCAACAAAGCTGTTTGCTTGCTTGCCTTCCTTTTGCCACCTCTCCTTGTTTCTCCGAACTGTCAAATTCTGATTTCAAGCTTCTTTGCCTTCTGTGCCATGTGCCCAGTGAAGATCAGCCTCCAAAGCTACTCTTTGTACTCATCTGAAACTTATAGGTGCCTGGATACATTCATATTTTTCCAAACAGAGTTACAAATAGATTCAGGAAAGATCTCACTGGGAACTTGGCACAAAAAGAAAGGTCAAAATGTACACACCTATCCCTATGTTACAGTCCTGATCCAGTTTGGTGGAGGTGTGGGTTGAGTTTTATTTTTACGGACTTGAAGAATATAGAAATACATACACCCACCTAATGCAGCTTTGCCCTAAGAAACAAACATACTATATTAATCCGTGGGAGAAGAAAATGAGCATTGAGGTTGGCTTTGTTGACAAACAGCAGGAAATTATGGACAGACACCCAGCTTTGATATAGCAGCAGAATATGCCAATGGAGTGCTTTAAAAAAGCCAACAAACAAAAAACTAAATGGGATTTGAAGTGTATTTTCTCTTCAATGTATATGTTAAAAAACAAAGAAACTTGTTTCTTGCAATTTAACTCCTCTAATACTCACATGGAATAACAGTAGAACTCCGATTTTTTTGTTTATTTTCATCTCTCTTGCCAACTTTCTGTGACTGCCAGTTCTTGTATGAGGGCAGCCTCTAACAAAAGAGACATTAATGATTAAAGAATGCACTCCAAATACAAGCACTTCATTAAGAGATCCTTGAGCAGAAATACACCTGCATCCTTCACAAATACGTTCTCTTTACTTTATGTACTTTTACTCTGCTATCAGTTTCAAGTCCAGCCAATGCATTCTTAAGAGCAACCTAAAAATGAAAAAAAAAAATACCCAGAAGCCAAGAGTTTTTCCCAGCTTAAAACTAAATAATGAAAACTACTGATCTTTTCTGTTAAGAATGTAAAGACCTAAGGAACTCAATTTACCTGGAATTCAGCTTCCAGCAGAGATGGATCACTGGGAGGATATCTTTTCTTCAGGTGATTAAGCTGCCTATGCAGTTCTGCAATAGTGACCTCCGTTTCACCAAACTGCAGGTATTCAACCAAAGCTTGATGGATCAAGATGTACTGTGCCTAAAGTTTCCCAGGATTCCAGAATGGGCAGATTGTGGAGAGGAAACAGCAGTTTAAACAAGGATATGTAGTATTCCATAAATATCAAACTGTACAGCAAAATCATACCAAGTCAAATTATTCTGACAGAAACCTTGCTCTGTTTGGTTTCTCAAGGATTCATAGGGCCTACTTCTAAGTAAATGTGCCCCTTTTTCAGAGCTATCTGTGAATAAGTCCCCTTGAATTCCATGGGGTTTCTTTCTGAGTAAGCAGATATGGAATTGGGCAGCAAGGCAAGTGAAACCTCATTGGCCCTCCACAAAACTTGATGTATTTTACAGGTTTGGTTCGGTCTTATTTTGTTTTCTTCCCTTGACCCCCATCATCAACTTGATCTGTAGCAAGATGAAAATAAGTGGATTTTGGATTCTTTTTAATGCCAGTAGCAGTGGCATGAATGGAATAGTGGTATTTTTTTTAAATGCACATCTTGTGATTCATCCAAACAGAATTTTTAATATTGTGTGTTTTAAAATGTGTGTAAACAGGATCATAGTTTTAAAAATGTTTTGTGCAAATGGGAATCATGTTTCCAATATTATTTCAGGCCTTTAAATTAGACTCAGGAGTGCATCCATTCTGTAAGGTTGTGAGAATGCAGTTATCTATTTTAGCCTTGACTTCAGTGCTTTTCCCACCTTCAGTTGAAGCAGAGGGTAAATTGGCAAGATCTTTGTTCAATATGAAATAAGTTCCTGCTGTGCTAAACAAAGTATTGTGTGAAGAGGATGAAACTAACAAGAATGTTTACAATGGGAACAGCAAGTAAGTTGACTTATGAAAGACAACTGATAAAAAATTAAAGTTATGACTACATTTGCACAAATGTAAGGACCCAGAAATTTAAAACCCTGCCCAAATCATCACCACCACCACCGTCTTGTGCAAATTTGAATACTCCAAGAGGATGATGATGAAAAACACAGAACCCAATTTGTATAAACCATGGAACCCAGAAAAACACTGTGCCTGTTTAATTACTGTGTAAAATGAATGAATGAATGAGCATTTCTGGAACCAGAGGAAAAACCTTGCTATAGTCTGCTGCCACTATTTGAACCGAAAACACTGCAAAATCTTGTCAGACTTAAAGAGAACAGCATTTCCCATGTCATACATCTCCCTCCATGATGGAATGCAGTGCTTGACAGAAATAAAGCTTCTTCACACTGATATCAAATAATATAATATCAATGTTCAATATATTCAAAGGCATTTCTTCTTGATCAAAGACAAACATTGGGTAACCTGGGACGTAAGACTTTTAGATTTCCCAAGAGAGAAGCTAAAGAGAAATGAAGAGCCAATTCATATGTTAAATTTCATTTCTAATATCCACATTTAACAGTTCATCTGGGAAGTCTGCTCATATGAGGAGTGTCATCTGTGAGAGCAGCATAACTCAACTGAATGCCCATGATCAAGAAACAGAAGACAGGCATGCCTGTGCAATGAAATTGGCATGCAATATTATGTATGTAAGTATTCAGGTAAGGTATTTCTGGAGCAGTCATGATGCTATAGGACATAAGAGTGACATGGGGGGAAGCCCTTTCCCATGTGCCTGATGCAAGCATGACTGGCTGATCTCTATAACTGAGCAGGCTCATATTTTGGCCAGGGTGACTTATTTTATACAGTTACGTGTATTTTATATTGTTATTTATGTTTTTTAATTAATTAATTTATTTATTTGTAAGCCGCCCGAGGCTTCGGCGAATGGGGCAGCCTAGAAATTTTCTAAATAAATAAATAAATAAATAAATATCAGGACAGGCAGCTTCACAGAGGCACAGTTGCCTTCCGGTGGGTCATACCACTCCAAGGAATACATCAGTGGCTGGGAAACCAGGGAAAGTTGGAGGGCTGATTTCCAGCCTCCCAGCCCAACATAGGCAGAGGCTGCTGCTGCAGTTGCTCACCTGATCCGGTCAAGATGCCCCCAACACGTGGGATGGGAAGTGTCATGGACGTTCACCTGTCCCAGTGCCTAGCCCAACCACTGTGAGAATGGCTCCTTACAAGCTGAATGAGTTGATGAGCTTACCATCTTGGCTATGCAGTCTCCCTACCAGATAGAGCATGTGGATCCTCCGTCTTGATATTTCTCCCAATGTATTCCAAGTGATAAGCCGCCCCGAGGCTCTTCGCGAATGGGGTGGCATAGAAATGTTATAAATAAATAAATGAATAAATAAAGTGATCACTAACTGGATCCTAAGTTCTCTTTGGCCACTCATGCTCAAGAAGCATACCTCCACTTGCACCATAAGACATCGCTGACGTCGTAACTTTACAACATAGCCATAAACATCCACTCTTCCTTCACTCTCCAGTCCTTCCAGCATGGCGTCAATGCCAATGTAGGTTCCAGTGCGCCCAACACCAGCGCTGATGAAGTGGCAACAAAGAAAAGGAGAGAATACAGCTGTCAGCCCAATTGCTGATGTTTACGAGCGTAAGAGATGCAATGTAAATGAAAGACATTGACATTAACTTTTAAGGCTGTCGAAACAGCTGAAGAACATAAGAGTGGGCCATGGGCCCATCTAGTTCATTATTCCATTCACTCAGTGACCCAACGATTGGCTACAACAACTTTCATTGTTTATGAACAAGTTGGAGAGCATTGGTCCCAATACAAGTCCTTTGGAACACACCGTTTACCTCTCTTCACTGGAAGAATCTATCATTTATTCAAACCCTTTCTTTTACGTTCTCTAACCAGTTACTGATCCATAGGAGGACTTGTTCCATGACTGCTAAGTTTGTTCTGGTTTGTTTTTGTGAAAGACTTCATCAAATGCCTTTGGAAGTCTACCTCAACATATTTATAGAACCTCTCACAGAGAAGACTTTACAGAAGCCGTCTTTAGCCTGGTGCTGTCGCTTTATTCTTTTTGGTGTCAGGTGAAGACCTTTTTATTCTCCCAATATTTTAACAGTTAATTGGTTTTATCTTTGATTTTATCATTAATGGTTGGATGCAGTATGTTATGTGCTGTCCGCTGTATGTGGTTGTTGTTGTTGTTGTTTTGTAAGCCATCCAGAGACTTTAGTATAGGATGGCATACAAAAACTTTAAATAAATAAAATAAATAAATCATTCTTCTTCTTCTCCAGGGCTTGTCCTTCTATATGCTCACCTATTTTTTCCTGTAATATTGTTTTCAACCAGGACAGATGTTAAGTTAAATGGTCTGCTATTCCCTGAATTCCTCCCACCCCTTGTACCCCTTCTTAAAAACTAGCATTATGTTGGCATCACAGAATTATCTGACATGTCAGTAAGATCAGCCTCAGTACCAGAGAATTGAAGTGCAGTGTTATACCAGTTCAACACTAGCATCAACCTCTTTTTCTATATGTACTTTAATTTATGACAGTATCTTCTGTCTCTCATAAAACATTTCACTAAGCAAAACAATTATTTTTTGCATCCAAATCCAGATCAGGATCACAATGGAAGAAGAAAACTGCTACAGTATTAAGGTCCCAATCCTTATCAGGACCACTGTGTTTACTCTGGAGTTACTTAAAATGGCTAAGCTGTGTCTTTAAAGGAAGATGTGCTTTGGCCCTAAGCTTCACACAGCAGAAATTCTGAGAAAAGCTTGTCTTATGTTCACCTCTTACCTGCAATGGACCACAATTGGACCACTAAAGAAGTTGCTTAAAGCATTCACTCTATGGCGCAGCTTGAGAAGGAGGTTGGGGTTATCAGGTACTCCGTGGTCTGGCCAGCTTGTAAACTGAAGGTGGGTCACATCTCTTTCTGTTGTCTTTTCTCTTCTCTGGATAAAGGAATGTGTATGTCAATATTTATTGTTGCCATTTTGGTGCAAAAGACAAAAAAATAAATGGTGGAGAAGGCTACCACAAGAGATGATGGAGGAGCTCTGAGTTGACAATGTTTGACCAAAAGGGGAAGAAGGCTGAAAGTTTTCCATACTGGCACACCCCAACCACTAATGTTATGATGACCCTTCCTTAGAAGACTCTCTCAAAGTTATCTTTGTATTATGCCATCCACCTTCTCCCAAAGCAAATATCTACTTAATTTAAGAACAGGCATAGTGGAGTGGCAGTGAGGTATGAACTAAGAAACCTCCAGTTCACATCTCATCGCAACCATGAACCCACTAGGCAAGTCTACCCTCTCCACAATATGGAGATGCTGCTGCTGATGATCATCATCATCATCATTACCAAGCTGTCATGATGAGCTAATGTATGCAGGCATCTCCAGACATCATGTCTGCTTACATTTGTGATATGCAGCTTCTGAATGACGTAGTCAGGACACACTTTGCATTCATTTATCTTGACAATGATGTCTCCATAGGATGCAGTTTCCTCTTCCATGGATGGCCAGTATTTGGCGCACTTGACCTGTCGGAATGAAAGATCATCAAGTGAAAAGAGCTGAAACAGGTTTCATATTCTTCATTATTATATCTGGTTAAATATGCACATATGCATTTATTGCATTTCTATGCCAGCCAATAGCCAAAATTCTCTGGGCAGTTCACGAAAATCAAATACAATTTCTAAAAATAAAATAAAATGCCTGGTTGGGTATAGTTTCCAAATGCAATATTTGTCCAGCAGAAGGGGACAAAACTGTTTTTGCTGTGCAAGTCATCCTAAGAACCATTTGTTACATGGTGGCTAATAAAGATCAACTGTAGTGGTATGCATTACATTTAGAAGATTTGCAGGTAGGTAAAGTAATGCAGCCAAATCTACTTCTGTTTCTTGGTGCTACTGCACACTTTTGTCTTCAGCCTACTTGAGGCAAAAACTCTTTTTTCTGTAGCAGATGGGAGGAGATGGTGAAGGATGAAGCCAAAAGAGGTCCTTTGTGGGTGCTGGCCAGTAGAAGTGTGGTGTGAGGTTTAGCATGGAGAATTATAGGTCCAAGCACGACACAGGAAGGAAGCATATGGGGAAGCAAAGCACATGGAGGAGCAAAGCACAGAAGTCAGAGGCTCCTGGAAAGCTCCATTATGAAAGAATTGCCTTTTTCATGGACAACCCATTTCACCAATTAATGCCCCTGCCTCTAAGATTTCATCCTTCCATCCTTTTCCCTTTAGTGCCCCCACTGGCTCCTTCTCGTTTGTTAGAGAGCTTGAATTGTTGCATTCCGCTTTCCCCATGCTAACATACTTTTCCTAGCTGTCCTTCCAGAACAACTATCTCTTTCACTTCCCTCAAATCCATCCACAAAAGTTCCCCTTTTCTGGCTGCATAGAGTCCTAGAGTCATAGGGCGTGATTTTTTGCTCGTGTCCTAGAGTCATAGGGCATGATTTTTTGCTAGTGTTTTGTTTTCATATTATCTTGTTTTCACATATTTGACATGTGATGATGGTGCATAAATAAATGAATAATTGCACTTTAAATTCTATTAATAATAGCAAGTATAATAATAACAGGCATAATTATTTGTTTCAGAAGAAAATTGTTTTAGCTCATCAGAGCTATTGGGTCCATTAGCTTCCCAAATTTGAGAGTGTGGTAGAGCTGTTCCTTATCCATGTGGTCATTCTCATTCTTTGACTAGATGAGGATACTTTTAATAAGAACATGACAGGACCACAGCTGGATCATCTTGCCTAGCATCCTACCCCCACAGTGGCCAACCAGATGTTCCTGGGAAGCCCAGAAGCAGTGCATGGGGGCAACCGTCCTATCCTTGCCATCCACTCTCCTCTAACAACTAGTACAGGCTATAATGGATCTAATAATGTTTCTCTTAATCTAATGTTTTTAATAATGTAATTTCATGCTTCCACCAATGTGACATGATTTTCAAACAAGAAATATGTGTTTACTAATTTGAATGGTTTATGTTCTAATTTTGGAGTGTGTGTGTGTAATTTTATTAATTCTATGTTCTCTGTTTTGGCTCTATTTATCTCTGTTAACTTATTCACACTCTCCGTTCTTGGTCTTTTGTAGATGTGAGTGTTGTATTGTGCCTTGTATTGTTTTATGTAGTTCCAGATTTTAACATGATGTAAGCCACCCAGAGAACCTATAGTTAGTGGGGCAGAATATAAATTGAATAAATGAGTAAATAAAGCTATAAAGCTTACTAGATCAAGGTTCTTGGCTTTCTACTACCAAGTTTGCTCCACCTCGGTTATGTACAAGTTCCCCACCCCTCAAAGAAATCCATGCACTTTTTTTTGTCACAAAGTACTTTCAAATGCACTGATTGTTTCTTTTCCTTTATCAAATGTACACATTTTTGTGTTTCCCAATGAAAAAGGATATCTGTACACATTTCGCAAAGGTATACAGTCTTATTTGCACATTTTTCAGATGTCCGTGTGCTATCAAATACATTTTTCTTTCATGGAAGGCATCACATGCCCAGGCATTTGTGGAATTCTGAAAACAAATTGTGTCTGTTTCCATGTTCAATTTCGGCAAGTGCAGATCAGGAGAATCTTAGGGAAAAATAAACTCAACAGAACTGATTTCTCATGCATTCCCAGCATTCTCATGCTTCATGGTTTGGTGAAGACCAAGTGAAAGAGTGATAAGTACCACCTACATTAGGAGTGACAACCAATGATGGCAAACCATCTTGATATTTTCTGTGAAAATAATTGATAGTATAGAATTTATAGATAGATGGATGGATGGATAGATAGATAGATAGATAATTCTATTGTAAATTAGAATTACATACTTTTACAATAAAATACTTTTATTGTAAAACCATCCCAAGACATCAGTAGTTGGATGGGTTATAAAAGCTTTAAATAAACGAATGAATGAATGAATTCCATGCATGTTGTTGAGCAAGGGGGGCTTTTTTCTTCCAGATGGCAGTGGGAATACACATGAATCTCCAGAAGAATTTGAGTAAGCTGGTACTTCTAGAACCCACAGTTAATAGCTGGTTTAAAAGTCATACTGCAAAATCACAGGTCCTGTGTATATCACCTCAAATACTTTGTGACAAAGGGTTTTCCCATAAGTAAATGTATGAATTTATAAATCCACTATTCAAAGTTACCAATGGACATTTTAAACTAGCCACAAATAGGTTAGGTGTGCAATCTTCTCTCACCCTGTTCCCTTCCTCGCAACGAGTCACCATGACAACAATGGTTGCCTTTTGCTCCCAGATCATTCTCCAGAAATCATCAGTTGTCTCATCTTTGGGACCTGGCAGAAAAATTACTTTAATCACTTGAAGTATTTTGATGCAAAGATTCGAATGGGCATGGCCCATCCAAAGATAAGTCCTTTTAGCTGTTAATAATTTCAGTTATGCACATGCTTAACTTTCCTCACAAAACTTACAAGTGCTTAATTTCAGCTGGATCAGGGCCTTATTATATGATACAGTAATTTGAATGCCGAAAAAAAGTACAAAAACCAGAAGGGAATGTAATCCTGCATTCCTGCTGTTCTATATAAGGAATAAATTGCAAGCATTTCTCTCTCATTCTACTAGTCTGATATCATCACCATTCATATCCCCCATTGTCAAAACCATACAAGGACCAGACAAAACCATTTACTGTGTGTTCCTGTAAGATTTAAAGAAGAAAGGAAAGAAATAAAATGAAAAGGGAAGAAAGATAATACAAACCTTGAGCAGCAATGTATTTTCTTGGTTCTTTGTAACCCTATGATAGAAAATTATGTAATATTATCCAATAATATTTGCATATCCATAGGAATCATGAGATCACAGCCAATGTTTTGTTTGGTATGGTTAAGGGAAGTCACTCACGTCAATATAACTTGCATTGATGTAATCCGATCCTAGTTCTCCAGGTATTGCAGAAAGTGCCACTCGATTGTAGTCATCTTTACACAGAAAGTATTAGAAACAGAAAGTCAAGCCAAACAGTATTGCATCTGAGGGCAGGAGCGATTGTGAAAAACATAATTCAGTAAGTACTTACATGGGAGAATATCAATGTAGCGGTTTTTGTTCTGGTTATAAGGTTTGCGTGCATCTTTTATAGAAAATTTACTGAAAACTCTGGGAATGCTCTGTAAAAGATAGCAGCATGCAATTTAGCATCAGGGAAACAACACAGGATGAAGAGACAAGCAGGGAAGAAATCACCATGCAAGGAATCCCATAGTGAGTCATCCTAAATCCCCTGGGCAAGGAGGGATGGGAGGACAAAGACACTCCATCCTCCGCCAATCACCTTCCTCCAGTTAAGGAGCATATACACAGGGAACCAATGTAAATTGGGCCGGCTTCCCCCTGATTCCAGAAGTTCTACTCTAAGCATAACTGTCTGACCAAATTCGCTAGTAAGGACATTTTATTTTTCTGCCAGTGTGTTATTGTAACTGAAATGGATGAAACTTTAACCTCTTTCAAATGATATGATAATTTACATATTAAATGTAGACAGCCAGTTAGGCATGGTGGTTACAGTGTTGACCTGGGAGAGCCGGGTTCTAGTCCCTGCTTAGTCCATGAGGCTCACTGGGTGAATTTGGGCCGGGAACACATGCTCAACCTAACTTAGATCACAGGGCTGCTGTTGTGACGATAAAAAAGTGCTCTGGAAGCTTCCTCATCGGGTTGAGAGTTTCCTATTCCACATTCCTGAGGAAAAGCAAACATCAGTACTCATATTTTTCAAATATAGTTGGCTTCTCTCTCTCTTTGGCAATAGGGCACCCACCTGAAATTCATCCAGGAAAAGTCTTCCTTCATCTGCTATCTTTCTTTTATATTCCTCCCACAATAATTCTGCAGGAATTGGTTCTATACTCTTCAGGTTCCTTTCATCATCTTTAAAACAAGTAGGGGAACATTTCCATGTAGATACACATTGCTTCAGATATGTATAATGTCAGTGCAATACATATTTAAGTAAATGGCTTACATATATTTGCATAGTAATATAACAAGTCCACAGTATGTTTACTGTGTGAACACAAAGGGGTGAGCTTGGACAAACCACCACCAAATAATTAACATGAATGATGTGATATTTTCTCTGAAAACATGCACCTTTTATCCCTCAAGATGTCCCCACAATTAACAAATGAATGAGCCCCTAAAATTAACACGGTGCCCACAGTTACAATCTGCAGTGGTGTTTCCTAGTTTTGCTTCTGGGAACTCTTCCTACATGAACTCATCTATGGAAAGCCTTGTACATTTGTGAGAGAGGTACACAAATCTGGAACATCGTAAGCAGGGACATGTGAATCAGCAAAACTCAACCTCTGAGTTCCATCTTCCCAGCTCAAGCCCATAACACATTGTCAGCCCATTTTTCTTTTTCTTTCACATGAAAGTCCATCCCTACTTTTGTACATATTTTTCCACATACCAATCATATCAAATGTGCATATCTTCAACATGCATGCTTTCTTCCCTCATTGATTAACATGTATTTGATCATATATATACACACACATACATTGTGAATTTTATTTTATTTTATTTTATTTTATTCTGCATTTTTAGGAGGTCCTGGGTGTTCTCTTCCCCCAGCTATTTTCATGCAAATATATGCATATTAATTGCATTTACATCTACTTATACCATGTTTTGGTCTACAACAACCATTGGGCTAATCCAGCAATGCACTTAATGGGAGTTTTAGACCAAAACATTTGGGCCACAAGTTGTCTAGTCTTGTCTTATATTCACAGCAGCAAAAGGAAGATTACAAAATAAATGGTGCTTTCAGCTACTGAGAAGTTCAGAGGTAGCTTATTAGGTTCAAATAATTCTTTGTCATTGCAACACATGCATCCATTTCTGGAAAAAGTTTCTACCCTCAGTTTCCAAGGAGTCTAGTCCAAGGCTGGGTACCACTGCCTTGTGATGTATCACAGGGTATCGCTTTACAGTGAAGCATCCCCTTGATGCCAGCTTTGCCTGCTAAAATACAGCAAGAGAATTGTTACCTCTGGGTACGAGCACCACGTCTTCATCTGCATTTCTGAAAGAAGCAAAAATAGTTATGAATGCTAAGGACTTTCTGTGTCTTCACAATCTCTTGTGTCCAAACTTTAGTTGTTTGCAATTGATTTGGAGATCATATACAGTGGTACCTCGGCTCACGAACACCTCAGTTCATAACCAAATCAGGTCACGAATAAAAATGTTGGCAAAATTTTGCCTCAGATCGCGAACACCACATTGGGTGACAATTGCGATTGCGCCCATATTCCCTGCATGATCATGCTCAGGGGATTGGGGAGATGGCCGCGATCGTGGTCGCGCTCATGCAGGGAAGACAGGCATGATTGTAGTCGTGCTTGGGGTGGGAGGGGTGGCTGCTATTACACGATTATGGTCTGGATTCTCCCTCCAAACAATAACCTCTCCCCACCCAGTGTTCTCTACTGTACTGTACTGTACTTTGTTACTTTGTTGTTCTTCGTCATTTTGTTTCAAATCGTTGTGATAAAAAAAATGGTTACAGAATGGATTAACCTTATGAACATTGAACCTTATGGGGAAATTTGAGTCACGACCAATTTGGGTCATGACCAGAGTCCTGGAACGGATTAAGTTCGTGAGCTGAGGTAGCACTGTATATACAGTGGATTTGGGTATCATGTTATGACTGTCCTGTAGCCAAAAAGAGGGCTTTAGAGAAACTCAAGACAAGTATTAGCATATTCTGGAGAACCCTAGTTTGCAGAAATTAAAACTCTAAGGAACTAATCCTGCTCAAAAAAGCAGGGAAACAAATCCAGTGAGGAATAAGGACAGTCAGGGATCACAGAATGCAAAACGTGGGAAAAATGGAGAACTGGGAGATGAAATGGAGGATCTTGACAAAGGCATGTTGCAAAAATAAGTCCCACTTGTTGAATCTTAATAAACTCCTGGCTTCTTTGCTATAGTCTGAGTGTATGTGATTCTGGTAATACAAATCTGGTGGACGCAGCTCTTTCTCATGCCTGCAGCTCCCAGGTCCCATGTAGGTTCACACTATTCTTTTTGCCCATATGGTTCTCCTGGGTAGATGACTTCTGGATTGGCTTGGAAAGAGGAACATGGGGGAAAGGGCCTATGCTATGTCATCATGCATAATTCCAGAGGAATCCAACCTCAATCCACATCTGAAGAAAAACACTGCAGCCTTTTTAGTAGGGAGAGGAAAAGAAATAATTGCACCTTGCTTTCTCTCGTTTGAGGATGTAGATTTTATACAGAACAATAAGTAAAGCCAAAGATGTCACAACAATAAGGAAAGCCAAAAATCCAATCAGGGCTTTAGAATTATCTGTAAAAGAGAGAGAGAGAGAGAGAGAGAGACAGAAGCTGTGATCCTGGAAAGTTTTTGGAAGCATAAATATTTTTTATACTCATGTGCCTTAACAGGTGAATTAATATAAACAGGAAATAAAACAGGGTGATGTAAACTGGAACTTACATCGTGTGTCCACTGTAACTGAGCGTATCTCTGAAGGAAATTTTCCATTGAAAAATGTTACCTAATAAATAGAAGGAAAGGAATATGCAAGGTTTCTTTCTGACTCCAAACAAGTGCGACGCACCAACCACAAACCATTTTATAGACTTTCTGTAATGCATCTTTCATCAAACCTAAAAAAACGCATTACGTGGTCTTGAAGGAAATTCCCTATTTTATGGGAGCTTTAATTAGCGAAGTCAATAATATGAATACACAAGGTAAGAGAGGAAATTGTTTTTTGGAAAAAGATTATTAAGGCTTTGCAATCTTCTGAAAGCTGAAGATCTGCAAAGATGGACATTCAAGTGGCTGGGTATGGCGGAACTTGTTACTGGTTCTACTCTTGAACCCTTTTCTGGGTTCTGGCATGTTGTGAACAAGAAGGCCCATGAAGTCTGGAATTCCTGTGAGCTGAAACATAATCTCAGAAATGGTATCATGTTTTTCCTCTGTTTTGCTGGAAACTAGAAGAGGCTGAAAAGGGTCAGCAATGTGTACTCAAAGTTGATATGGAGGAAATGCAAATGAGCCAATTCTGTAAAACTTGTAAGCATGAACAGGGCAATCCAGCAGGGTTGCATGACCTTTCCAGGCCCAAGAACTGCTTTATCGGAGGGCACATATGTGAGCCCAACAGATCAGCTCATACACATTCTGATGTTGTGTGTAGGGACAGAAGGACAGGATTATCTGGAGCAGCCATTCCCAGGTTGGAGCTGGGATGTTAAGGCTGAACCCCTTGTCCCAGCCCTGCTTGCAGCAAATCCAGAAGGAACCAAGCTGGAGAAGTCCCTCAAGGTCAACAACATGCCTCAGAGGGGAATAAAAATGGCGCATTGGGAATCAGGGATGGGAGGGGCTGGCAGAAGATGCAAGTTGCCTCCTGTTGCTGTCCCAGCTGTAAATGCACAGCACAAGGTGTGGCAGCTCCCACTGGCCTTCACTCCACACATTAGTGGCACATCTGCTTCTGCATTCAAAAACTGATGTGTATCTCAGGTAGAGACCACTGGATTTTACCTGTAAGGAATTCATAGGCTGCTTTTTTCTTTAAAAAGTAACCAGCAGGGCCAACGTGCACTACCCCAGTGCTAAATTCAGAATGACACGACCTACCTTGAACGTATATCTTGTCAAGTAGTAAAGGTCTGTCACTTCGAACTCACAGTGGCTCCCATTCCTACTGCCACCATCCCATTCCAACATGAAGTGTTCCATTGGTCCATTAATTTCCTTTGGTTTGGTGCAGATAATGCGCACGGCATTGTTTGCGTTTTCTGTTAAGTGTGCTTTGAGGCCTTCCACAGGTTTTGGTGCTGTTAAAAATTAAAAAGGGTTACCTCAAAGGGAAAGATGAGTTTGTTTTATGGGTCTTTGGAAATGGAACATGACATTTTAAAGACAGGTTCCTGCTAGTACTGATACGAATGACAGATTGGAAAGGTTTTTACCACAACTCAGCTTTATGTAAAGTGGATAGCCATTGCATATGGGTAGCTCTGTGTCCCCTCATCTTCTCTCCCTTAATAATGTGGTACTTTTTGCACTGATAGCCATGGTGCCATTGGACTCCCAGTCTGTTCATCCTACACAAAGCAGCCAGTGCTGTGGACACAGGCCAGCAAAACGCACAGCATGCAACACCTTGCATGTCCTTTATTTTTGTTTGCAGGACCGGAACCAGCATCTTAACTCCCTGAAACGTGGCCACATTGCACTGTGCCCCCTTGATATTCAACATGGTTTTTTTCCTGGTCCAGCATTCTAAACACCCGCAATCAAACTGACCGTCTTACTAATTTCCCACAATGCACCAGCTTAGCCTCACTCTGGGGAACTGTGGGCAATTACAAAGGCAGCCAGAACCAGCTGCCCAGGGCTGGTTGGAACACTGCCACTAAGGCCTGTGGATAGAGATGACGACTCCCCAGAAAGCATGGGCCTTTCAGATTTACAGCTGACCTTAGCTGCATGGTTTAAATCTCTATATCCTACCATTTTGATCGATGCAATGGATTTCTAGGGTGGATTACATAATTCAGGGCAGCAGAACCTCAGACTTGTGGCCTCAGTCCAGCCAACTCCTGGAATGGCCACATCCCTTTACTTGGTCCTGCGCCCTTTCTCCTAGGTACCCACTGGTCATTGGTTTCCTGGTTCTTGTGCAGCTTTTTGCTCCATTCCAGAATGCCTCTCCTAAGACTTAGCTACTGGCCATCACACCTGTCAGCTACAACATATGGGTCATTTTGACACCACTCCTTTTGACTTTCCCTCCACACCATCAGCACCACCAGCAGATTATGGCCCTAAGAGATTCTCTGAAAAGGAGTTTGGCTCACATGCTGAAAAAGCTCCAAATATCCTGCACTGAACCTGGGTTTTTATCGGAGGGTTGGGACTTGTGTGGGAAAAGAAACACCCACATGGAAATACTAGGGTTGTGGAGAGAGAAACACACATCCTCGGCTGGGGGATACCCATACGGCCCAATATGACTGCTTCATTGTGCAGCCATCTTTCCTCCCTATCCGCCCCAGACCTGTTGCTGTATATCACAGCCACTAGTGAAAGTTGCCATGTTTGCTGTGGAAGCAGAAAGGTGGCAGGCTCCCCTCTACCAGTGCTTCACTGCTTATCTCTGGTCCCTCATCACAGGCCACAGGATAAGAGCAATAAGAGTTCCTTGACAGCACTAGTAAGAAAAGCCTTTGCTTGTTTCCAGTCTGGAATGAGGGAGCTGAGCTAAAGGAGGAATTGCTGTTGTGTCTAAAATCTGTGAGATAAAGGCTAAAACAAGGCTTAAAAGCCTCAAGAAAAAAGACTTCTGCCCGGTGCTGAAAACTTATTAGAAGAAGAGACACCCTGCTATAGGTGTGCCAAAGATGGCATTAGCCAGCCAGCAGCCAGCACATCTCAGACAGCAAGTGCACGAGGCATCTGGCGTATCAGTAAGCTGAGGTAGGAGCAAGCATTCCAAAAGCAGGAGGGGACGTGAGAGACTTTAGTCCCAAGTCTTATCAACCACCACTATGTGTAGAGGTTGCTTGCCACTTCTGACTACCAAATCCCAGCCTTGCACTCAATGCCTAAGCAAAATGTTTTGGTTCTCCCATTGAAACTCCTCGGGTGATTTCCTTGAAAAGACTCTCCAAATAGGATCAGAATTTTAACTTAGATGACACACACCTATGGGGCAACGCTATGCCTTTGTAGAAAGACAATTAAGATATGTGTGGTCTCTAGAATACTTAGACGTTTTATTATTACTTTTCCTGGAAAAGATTATCCTGAACCACCTTTAAACCTTGGCCACTACTATAGCAAACACCCACGCACACTCAGCACTGGCTTAGGGCCTGTTACAAACAGGTCTGTTACAGGATTGCCATTGCTCCATCATGGTCTCCATACTGCTTTACAGGGAGATGGCCAGAGAGGCAACTCTGGCAATCCTTCTTCCCAAAGTGTTGGCCCCACACACTGCATCCCAGGTGTGCAAGATCAAGCAAAGTTGATATCACTTGGAGGCCAACTTGGAATTCTATTGAAACACACTTTGAGTCTTTTTTTAAACCTTAGAAAGCTGACTAAGGGAACAATCCTATGGCTGCTGGATGCTGTTTAGATGTCCAGAGGAAATTCAGATTGCCAGCCTCAACCCTGGAACACCTTTGGTCTGCCCTCACAGCCAGTGCGTTTTTTCTTTCCACACCAGCTGAAGCTCTGAAGTTGCAAGTGTGACCTTGGAGAGGCCACTCAGGGAAATGGGAGGAACATGACTAAGCAATAGGAGTGCCATGATAATCCTCAGCTCTACCCACCTGCCCCTGGATGCCCATACAGGTAAAATTCCTTTGCAGCCCTATCCATCGGTATTAGCAAACTATGGATATATTTCATGCAGTAGGTGGGGGAGAAGTTGGTGACAGTGACAGCAAAGCTGAATAACTGTAAATAGATAGCCCAAAGGAGGTTCAGTCCTTTAGGCTGACTTAGAACTGCACCCACACTCTGGCTGTCTGCATGGCCAGTCTGAATCAGCCTCTGGGAGAAGCCTGGAGCATCATAGTGAATGGCACTCTGCCTGCTGTTCCAGCAAAGAGGACCACCCCCCACCCCACCCCAGGTAAGTGGGGTGGCAATGTAAGCCAGGTGGCAATGCAAATAGTCGTGGAATGTAGGTGGATTGTATGTGGCAAGAACCTAAGTAGATGAGAAGCTATGGAGTTAGTACAGTATTAAAATAGCATAACTTACGTGCTGGAGCAGTGGTAACATTTTTGGTTTCTCTTTCCCCCGCAAGTATTTTATTATTCCCCACTGTGTATGCCCATACACTGCAGCAATACTTTGTATAAGGGTTTAAATTAAACCACAGATGTGAAAACAATGAAGTGTTTTGAAGCTCTGGAATGAAAACACATCAATATAAGTAAATTCATTCATTTTGTTTCAATAGCCCCAATAGCCAAAGCTCTCTGGGCAGCTTAGGACAATTAATAATATACAATTCAATACAGTATAAAACATAAATAACTATAAAACATCATAACACTTCTCTACAAACATTTAGAACCAATGTTAAAACTGAATTGAAAGAACTAAGGTAGGTAGGTAGGTGCGTACATACGTAGTTTATTATATTAAGCCATAGGCCATTACAAATTTACAAAGCCATAAGATACAATTTGGCAAAGGAGAACTTTAAAACTGATATACCAAGTTAATTAAGGCTAGAATAGTTAAAAAGGAATAAAAGGTAAAAATGGACTGTCCATGTGCAAGACACTAACCCCTTTGAAACCTCCCTTGATCTTAGCTGCAAAGGCAAAGAAAGAGACTCTGTATGACATGTATACATCATGGTCTGATAGCACAAATAGCATTTTCAAAAAAATCAGACCATGCATTTATAGTAGATAGAAACCAGTCAAAAATTTGTCTGTCGACAATAGATAATGTATCGAGGAAGGTTCTCCACTTTGAGGGATCCACAGACGTCGACGTCCATTGGAAACTTAAAGAACTAAGACACACTGACATAACTAGATGTGTCAAAGCAGCTGACATTCTACTCCCACATGTGCTCCCATGTGCTATTTAGACCTGTCCAATGCCTTGGCATAGAGGATAACCTTAACCTGGTGTCGGAAGGAGGCCATATGGGCCTCACTGGGGAGCTTCTTTCATAATAAAGGGCTACCACCAAGAAGGCCGTCTTCTTTGTTGCCATCAACTAAGCCTCCCTCAGAGGTGGCAGTCGGAGGACCTCGGTTGTGACATGTAATGTCTGGGAAGATGAGGGTTCACAGAGGCACTCTGCCAAGTATTGCAATCCCAAGCTGTGTAGAACTTTATAAATTAAAACCAGCTTTGTGAATTGGGCTCAGAACTATATAGGCAGCTGGTGCTGGCAGGCCAGAATCTATCAAATAACTTTTTGTACCATCTGCATTGTGTTGTTGCTAGGTCCTTGAGGTCCTATTTTAGTGGAAATTGGGGGTATACATTAAATAAGTAAAATAATTAGGGTTGGCTGTATCACCAAAAAAAACCCAGAGCATTGGTGAAATGAGGTGGCAGGACTACACGAACAGAAACAGGTTCACTTTTCAATAAATCCAGCATCTCAAAACATTAAATTAAATTAAAATTCTGTCATTTCCATGGGCAAGATCCAAATTGCGTTTACTGAAAAGTCACTTTAAAAGCACCACAAAAAAAGATGCAGGAGGACACCGTTTGCATAGCTGAAAGATATAGATGCAAATTCAGAAATAATTCATAGAATTTACATTTCACAAAAGACAAGGCAATTTTCTGTATAAGGAATCCCAAATAAACTCTTTGATTTATTTTACCCTCCATCACTCCCATGTCTCTCTTCAATTAATTTTCCCACACTAATTCCCTTCTCCAGATCAATTCTTCCTCTTCAATTATTATTCCCCCCATTCTTTATTACTTTGCCCCAATAAAGCGCAAACAGAATAAGTAGCATGTGAATAAGGCCCAATAACAGGGACCCAATTCAAGCAGTGGAGTGGACTTTGGAGGACCAGTCTGGGATACTAGAATTTCTTCTCCACAGCTACTGCAACTGGCAGCCATGAAATGTCTTGCCACCTCAACTCTCCATCCAGGCACACACTTCAGAGCTTTACTTTCCAACAAAAGAATCTCTCTTTCCTCCCCCCCACATCCCCCACACACAGCTTTTTCTCCAAAGCAAAAATTACCAAGAGATCATGCATGAATGTGTTCACCTAAGGCCCACCCTCAATTACCATGAAGATCTGAAAAAGAGGTCGTTCGCATATTAGGCTGACCGTGCTTACAGACTCCTCACATGTGGGAACCCTGCGTTATCAGTGGCGTGTACAGGGATGTTGGAGTAGGGCTTAGGTGTGTGCCTGAGCCCTGTTTTAGTCATTTTCTATTACAGACAAACACCTACGTGGGATCTGAGTCATTTTTGGTTCCCTGCGGCTGCTGCTACTTCTCATAATTTGCTTCTTCTTTGCAACAAGCCGCTTTCCCTTTCTCATTCTCATTGTAGTTGCCTGGGCAATTACTCTTCCACAAAGAATAAGATTTCAAGGCACGTGGAAGAAGATTTAGATAGAAGCACTCCTTCAGATAAGCTGGAGATGAGCAATCTCCTTTCTAGGTACCTTAGATGTTCCAGATTGTTTACTCCCAAATTAGTATATTGCCCAATCTGTTAATGAATCCAGCTGAACAACTTGTTAAGGGGGCACACAGTAAAATAATAGGGCTATTTATTCATGGCTTCCTCTTGGGATAAGAAGGTCCCCATTAGGGGCGCTTTTCCAGTGTGCAGTTCTACAAAGCCACACCATAGCTAAAAGAACAGGATAAAGATGATGGTGGAAAGCCAAGCTTAGAAAAATGATTTAACAGGACTGAATTTCATCCTACACACTTCAAAAAGGGAAAGATCCTCTGAAAAATGTGTATGGGAATTTACAGAAAACATACATACCACAGTGATACTGTTGCTTCCAGTTGCAGATTTCAACCATGTAGCCATCAATAGGGCCATTGGATTTATTACGTGGTTCAACCCAAGTTAATGATATATTAGTTGCATGTACTTCCAACTGAACATTTTCAGGTTTGTTTGGCTCTGATAATAGGAGATAAGCAGAAAATTCACTTTTGAAAAGCACCATATATACCAACGATACATCAACAATTAAAAATGAGGCAATTAAAAAGAAAAAAGAAACAGTACAAGCACCACCAAGCAGCAGATTATACATGAACAATGAACATTGGTTGGTTGGTTGGTTGGTTTATTGCCACTTCTGTGCTACCACATAAGCTGAAGATTCTGTGGGCAGCTTCAAATGCTTCATGAACATGAAGAGAAAGGATAGCTTTCAGATATATGGGTTTTCCAGTTCCAGGCAGGGGCAACTTAAAAAACAGACTGGTGAGGCTCTTCTCTTCAGATGATTGCCTTCCACGGGTGCAAGAGTGGGCAGGGGGAGTGCTCGTTCTCCTCTTGTGCTGATTTTAAACATTTTTGAATGAGTGCATAGAGGTAGAGTTTGAGCCAACCAGAGCAGGACAAGTTTGTTGCTTTAGTTAGGTTACTTTGCTTTGTGGGCAGTGCCTTGGCTGCTGCTTTGAGGTTAGAAATTTGACCTTGGAGAGGAAGCAAAGGGAGCATTCTGTGGGGTGGGAAGTCAAGCAGCCTGGCACCACATGGATATGAAATTTTCCTCATGTTGCACACTGCATGCTTGGAAGCCTTAAAGCTTGGGAGCTTCCAATCATCAAAATCACACTCAGTGGGATTAAGTTCTTTGCCATCTTGCAGTTGAGCAAACCATGGGTTATTTTTCTATTTCTGGTTTGATTTTCTCCCTCTCATTTTGTCAGCCTTCAGAACACTTCCATTATCAGGCTGCTCCTTTGTTTTAGGACAGACACCAGTACAAACAACCCACAGATAAGCCACAGTTCTGGGCAGCAGAACAAGCCATGGTTTAAATAAGCCAAACTTTATGAACTAACAAGTAACCATCAGTTATGTCTGCTGTTTATAGTTAATGATCTGTTTGTGGGAATGGATTCAGAAGTAATAAAGCAGATTTCAACAGATGATGGCTTATGTTAGAGAAACTTTTAGTAGCCCCTGGTATAGGGAATGTAGATTTCATTTCCTATTTACTCCTTATGCTACATCTTGAGCATTCCAGAACACAGAGTGAAGGATTGGTGGGAGGACCAGCTGCAGTCTAGGCTTCGCCACATGCCTAGGAACCTTGTTTGAGCACTCTGGACAACACGAGTTTAGAGAAATGCAACAGCAGAGGCACAGAGATGGCGACAGAAGAAAAATGTTGGCAGTAGGGCCAAGAGGTATGCGAATGCATGAACTGGGCTTTATTCAGTTGTATAACAGCCTGTCTCTGAGATAATATGGTGCTGCATTTTTGCTTTTTTAATGTGGCATTCCTTGTACACTGCCTTGATCGCAGAGAAATCCAAGAGTAAACCCAACACATGCACAAATAAAACTGCTTTTTTCAATTGCAGCAGCCTTCACACTCAAATAAATAGAACAAAACAGGAGTAATATCTTGTCTTTTCTCTTCTTCTCTTACCCTGTATCATTCAAAGAGCCACACGATTTCAAAGGTGATGACTCATGTGAAGCCCTCATTTGACAGAGAGGTGAAAGGGACTGAACAGAAGATGGCGTTACACTTTAAAACACTAACAACAAGTCCAAGGCAAGACAGGAATAGCTACCAAAGGGGAGTTTCTTCCATTAAAAGTAGAAGTTTCAAAGGAGCATTTTTTGTTAAACTCCCTCTCCCCACTAGCTGTGATTCTGGTATTCATTGGCCCCCACCACCAGGGGCTGATGTACACATTTTATTAAATGTGCTTGCTAATGGTAAAGACCCATTTAACACCATACCTAATTTAGACCTTCCAACGTATGGCTGTGAAAGTTGGACCATAAGGAAGGCTGAGTGCCGAAGAATTGAGGCATTTGAATTGTGGTGCTGGCGGAGACTCCTGTGAGCCCCTTGGACAGCAAGGTGATCAAACCGGTCAGTACTAGAGGAGATGAACCCTGACTGCTCTTTAGAAGGTCAGATCCTGAAGATGAAACTCAAATACTTTGGCCACCTAATGAGAAGGAAGGACTCCCTGGAGAAGAGTCTAATGCTGGGAACAATAGATGGCAAAAGCAGAAGGAGACGGCAGATAATGGGGTGGCTAGATGGAGTCACTGAAGCAGTTGGTGTGAGCGTGAGTGGAATCTGGGGGATGGTGGAGGACAGGAAGGCCTAGAGGAATGTTGTTCATGGGGTCGCGATGGGTCGGACATGACTTTGCGACTCACAACAAAGGGTTTTCTGTTTGCGTGCAAATCTGAAAGGAAGCCACTTTTAAAGCAGATAGCAATGAGAAAAAATATTCCTTAATTCCACTGTCCCTGATACAACAGTTTTAGAGAAGTGCCTTGGCTTGATTTTGAAGCATTTGTACATTTTCTACAAAGCTTTTTCCAATACTGTACATGGTAGACGGGAAATTTCATGTGCATTAGGACTAAATATGCTAGTTAATATGAACCAGATAAATGTATGTGTCACTCCAAAATCCATAAATATCAGCTAAGTGCATTGATTATCCTGTAAACATGAGATTTTGGCTCCATTCTTAGAGTAAATCCATTCAAATCAATTCACTGGCATGGGGTGAAAGTGTGGATATGGAGAATTTTTTCTCCCTCGCACATTATACTAGAACTTGGGGTCATCCTGTGAAGCTGATTGGTTGGAGATTCAGGACAGATAAAAGAGAGCACTCGGCAGAGTTAAACAATGGAATTCACTACCAGAAGAGGTTGTGATGGCCCCCAGTCTGGCTTTCATGGAAGATAAGGTTATCAAGGACTCCTAGCCTGATGGCTGTAGGCCACCTCCAGTCTCAGAGGCAGTTGTTGGGGGACATGGGTAGGAGGGTGCCCTGGAATACATATCCCACTTGTTTGTTTCCTGTACTTGGCTGTTGTGTGAAAAAAATGCTGGACTAGATGGATCTTGCTCTGATCCTGAAAATCTCCTCTTAAGATATGCTCTTTGTGAAGGGTGAGGGGCTCATTATCCCTTCTCAAGCGCTCAGTGAGTTGCACTCACTGTTGCTGCTGCAAACAACCCAACAGACCTGGACCAGTGCAAGGCAAGGACAAGGACAGGGCAGCTGGTGAGAGGCCTCAAGCCAGTGATGTTAAGCTTTTCTGCAAAAACAGGTCCTGCCAGACAAACCTTGTGGAATTCTATGACAAGGTTTCAAGATGGCTAGATGGAGGGGATGCAGTGGATTTGGTATACCTGGATTTCAGCAAGGCCTTTGACAAAGTGCCCCATGATATCCTGGTGCAGAAACTGAGGAGTTTGGGATACACCAAAGCACTGTCCGGTGGATTAGGGCATGGTTGACTGACCGAAAGCAGAAGGTAACCATTAGCGGGGAATCATCGGGATGGCGGCCAGTGACAAGCAGGGTCTCTGTCCCGAGGCCGATCCTGTTTAATCTTTTCATTAACGACATGGAAGAAGGGGTGAACAGTCTGCTGATCAAATTTGCAGATGACACTAAAACCGGAGCAGTGGCCACAACTGAGGAGCAGATACTCCAGATCCAAAAGGATCTGGACAGACTATGGAAGTGGGCAGGAGACAACAGGATGGCATTCAATGTGGATAAGTGCAAGGTCTTGCAATTGGGGCATAGGAATAGCTGTCATAAGTACAGGTTAGATGACAAGTGGCTGGAGAGCAGCACTTGTGAAAGGGACCTCGGGGTACTGGTTGACTGCAGGCTAAACATGAGTCAGCAGTGTGATGTGGTGGTCAAGAGGGCGAACGCCACCCTTGGTTGCATAGCCAGAAGTGTGGCTTCTAGATCAAGAGAGGTATTACTACCACTCTATACAACTCTGGTGTGCCTGCAACTGGAGTATTGTGTTCAGTTTTGGGCCCCTCATTACAGAAAGGATATAGCCAGGTTAGAGTCAGTGCAGCGTAGGGCCACAAGGTTGGGGCCAGTTTGCAGGGGATGCCATATGAGGTGAGACTGAGGGAACTGGGTCTCTTCAGCCTGGAGAAGAGGAGACTCAGAGGGGATCTGTTGGCGACATACATGTATGTGAGGGGATGTCACATGGAGATGAGTAGAGACCTGTTCTCCCCTGCAGCGGAAGGCAGGACGTGCTCCAACGGAGCAAAGCTCAGGGAACCAAGGTTCCATTTGGATGCCAGGAAGCACTTCCTGACAGTCAGGACCCTGAGGGCGTGGAATGGGCTTCCACGAGAGGTCGTTGAGGCCCCATTGGTGCGGGTGTTCAAGGATAGGCTGGATGTCCACATGATGGGCATGTCATGAGCGGAGCCAGCTGGTGCTGGAGGTCAGACTAGATGGACCGGGAGGCCCCTTCTGACTCGCTCTGTTTCTATGTTTCTCTGCGAGCAGCTTGCTATTCCAGCCAGAATATTCATCACCTGAAATAGGGCAGAGATGGAGGGGAGCAAAGGGAAATGGGGGAGGATAAAAGGAGGAGAGGGGAGAGGGAAGAGAGGAATATATGGGACAAGCATCCAGCCCTAGGTACACCTCTGCAACATGAGTCTTCCTCAGTAGATCACTTTTCTTGAAAGTAAAAAAAAAAAAAAATAGCATGAGACTTAATTTGCTAACTCAAGGAGGAGGAGGAAGAGGAGGAGGAGGCAGTGACAAGCAGGGCCTGTTACCAATACCATTATGTTTGCCTCTGCAGAGGACCCACTGCTGGTTCCTGGAGGCCAGAGGCCCTGCTGCTGTTCTTTCTTCTCCTTGCTGAGCCCCTTTACCTGTCCTCTGAGTAAATGAGGAAGTGGAGAAAAACTCCCCACGAGTCTGGCCTGCAGATTGGGCCCATAGGACGAAAGCCAGCAAATGGGTAGGCGTGAGATAGCACTGGGCTCATTCAGGGAGGGAGTCCACTGAGAGCATTTTATCCAAGGACTTCCAAAATGTGGAGACGGCTTGGTACCCAGACTGCAGGCAGTGGCTGTAACTCTTGCATATACTGTAACTGCAGGGATAGAAGCACATCAGTGTAGCATGTACAATTTTTCTGGCATCCCTGTAGCCACACACGTGCATCTATACTCTGCTTGATTATGTGAGTCTGGTGACTGGGAGAAAATGCAATTAGTAGGAAATCATAAGAAAATCATGTTATACTCACTTCCGTAATCTGTTTTAAATGTAACGTTTTCCGTAATCACTGTAGCACCGTTGAAAATTATTACTGACTTGCAAGTGTAGTCTGTATTGGGTGATAAAGAGTACCATTTCTGCGTTGGCTCACTGATCTTACCACTGATCAAATTATCTGTAAAAAATGTCAGGGTTTCATTACTTGGAGTGTTATGTATCCAAAGGATGCTGATAGCTACATGTTGAGATTAAAAAGAAAAAGAGGAATCAAATCAAATATGCTACATACAAAAACTACAGACAATGAACAGCTAGCGTTCTTAAATGACCTTATAGCAAAGATAAAAAAAAACTTTATTTTTTAAGTTATCAGGTACAGAAAGTTAATTCCTCATCATGTTAAACAGAAATATAAACAGTTTCTAAAAAGCTTACCATTGCACTGGTAGGAATATTTTAAACTGCATCCAAAGTTGTCAGGAACATTCCATTTTAAAGACACACTGCTTTCAGTTTTTGCGTAGTTTAATTTCCTTCCAACTGAAAAATGAAAAAAAATACAATGGCAGTCATTTTGGTATTACTTTTCCATATTTTGAAAGAATGTTGGATCAATTTCTATGGTTCATGCATGGTAACATTATTTCACATCCAACTCTGTGTTCAGTGATCCATTTGTATGAGTACCCTCACATAATGAACAGATCCAGTGGACCAAAAATAAATAAAATAAAATAAAATGTGGCACTACTTAGCTTTAAAAAGCTGACACATGAAAAGTTCTAGTGAAATCCCATTCGCTTAAAATGTGCACCAAGAATACTGATTGAATTAATCCTTTTTTGACTCAATCAGTTGTGAAAGAAAAGAACAAAAGGATTGCTTACATTTCCCTCCACAATCAGTAGGCCTTATGAGTGCTCAGCTTCTCTTGGATTCTGCCCACTTTTACCCATCAACCTATTTTTATGCATGTGTGTCGGTGACTTTGCTCATGGTGCTCTTCATACATGACCAATATTTTCACTAAAATGCACACACCCTATCATGACTTATGGAGACACAAGCTCCTTCATGCATTGACCACATGGAAGAGGTGCCTGTGCAGCAAGGGGCAGTGGGACCACTTCCTTGCTAAGCCAAGCTCTCATGTCCATCACTGAGCATGGACATCTGAGAAAGGGAACCCTCAGTGCATGGACCTCTGCTGCCTGAGCTTCAACAGGAGCTAGAATCCCAATTGTTTTCACACATAGGCTTCCTCTTCTAAAATCCTCTTGCCCCAGATGCACATAAAGAGCAGGGCAAGAGCTCCACTGTATGTTCAGTATTTGCACTTCCATCTCTTTAGGAAAGTTAACAGCAAGGACACCTTGTCCTTAAAGGACAGAAATATCAGAAACCCGCTTTCTCTGCAAGGTGCTTTGACTTTGGACACACATTTTGGTGATGGAGCCAGGGTTGGAGCTCAAGGACTAAGTCCAGGTTCCATAGTCTAGGAGATCCAAATGGCTACCCAGACAGTAGGGGGTAATGCAGGTAACAACAAAGCCACCCACCATCAGTATCTGGACCAGCATTAGTGCTTGGTCCAGCAGAAACATTACCCACCAGGGCTGACATTGATCGCTGCTGCATTGTCTGTTTCTCAGGGACAGGAGTGAGGGATGTGTCCTTTTGTACAACAAAATGGTGCTAAAAATGTTTAGCATCAGGACAGCAGAAACAAACTCCGTTTCATTCCTGCAGCTCTGACTTAAGTCAGTTTAATATGCCAAGTGCTTGGAGTAATTTCCTTTTCAATGATTATCAGTTGTAACGCACAGAAAGTTGTGGAGAGACCGAAGAAAAGAGAAACACCAACAGTGCATGGAAGCAGCACACTTCTGGCTAAGCAGGGGCATCTAAGGGGGCAACCCAATGTATATTTCAATAAAAAAGAAAATTCTTATAACTCCCAGCATCCCTTCAGACAGCCACACTAGCTGGGCCATCCCTGGGAATTGCATGGCTTTTCCTGCCTAAATATGCATAGTATTGGACCTTAAGACTGTTACCTTCAGGATCTAAAATTACCTTGCTGGGCAAAATAACTTAGAAGAAAATCTCCTTGACTTTAAACATATTGTTAGAATATTGTAACCATACTCTGTGTCCATTTCTTATACAAAGCAGCATGCAGATGTCTCCAGAATCTTCTCTGAACTTTCCTCAGAATTACTATGCAAATAATGGTTGTTGAGCTCCATTAAAAAGTGGAAAACACTGCTTATTTATTTATACCTTCTAATCTAAATGGTATTGGCTCTCCTTGGTTCAACACTGATCGCTCATGTTATTGCACTGGGAAATAATATTCAAGATTTTGCTTAACTAAACGATAAGAATCTGAACTTACCGGGAGGGACATGAATGTAATGCTTATCCCTGCAGCTTTCACTTGTTATGTTTATGTGATAATGTTCACATTCTTTAAGGCCAGTGAGATGTTTGGATTTGCTATCATAGGCACAGCTGCCATTGCATTTGATGTCCAACTGATTGGATGATCCACTGTCAACTTTTGCAATGACTGTATTGTTTATTGACATATACTTCTTCACTGAAATGGTAATTTTATCTAAGGAATGAAAGAAGAAATAAATGTTGAGAAACATACTGTTCTGAAACTCTTTCAAATACATACATACCTACATTTATAACCCTGAATCTGTATAACAGTTTTGGAGCAAGAGGCATAGTGTTAATTTCAAATGAGATCACCATTGCTCTATTGTGGACAGAGATCTTCCAAATGAGGGTAGGTGGGTCGGTCGGTTTGCAATTGCTCTGCCCTTTCCACATAACATTCTGCCAACAACATGGCTTTTAACTTCCCCATGGCTTCCCCATGTTTTCCCAGTACTGTCCATTAAGGAGGAAAAGACAACATGCCTGCACAATGCCTTTAGAGAGTAAGTTCCAGCAGCTGGCTGGCTGGAAACACCTATAGATTTTTACAGTGGGTTCCTCCCTTTTGCCAGCATCGCTAACATACTACCTAGACTTTCCCAGTGTGTCCCATCAAATCAAACAGGGCTATGTGGGCTGGACCACATGAAACTCAATAGATCTGTTTTGTATGCCTGACCACAGGGGCTTTTCCAGTTCCTGCCCAGCCACAATACACAGGTGCTGAGCAACATACAATTCAGAGAGTCTAAAATGCTGCAGGTCTTCCAGGCCCAGCCCTACAGTTAGACAGAGGGGGGCAGCTCCCTCATAGCTCAGGCTTTATAGTCACAAAAATTCCACTTTCCAACCCTGGAACTCTTCTCCAGTTTCCCTTAGAAATGAAATAAGATAGATGGTTGCTGAGGTAAGGGCCTTTTCAGCAGTGCTATCCCAACATCAGAACATGATTTCCAGGGTGTCTTGCCTGGTGTTCACTCGGATGTCTTTTCAGAGCTAGGCAAAGACCTTCCCCATTTTTGGAAAGTTTTTAACTCTTGTTGAGCTGATCAGACCAGGTTGGTTGGTCCTGCCTGACCACAGCGACGTTTCAGATTCCTGTCCACCTGCTGATCTACATGCAGCTCAGGTAGTCTAAAGTTTTTCAAGTCTTCCAGGGCAGTGTTACAAATGGGCAGTGACCAGAGACAGCAGGTACTGAAACCTGGGGAGTGGGAGAGGGCAGAGAGGGCACGATTCAGTCTGCCTTGTACCCCCTAAGCTAAAACACTGCTTCCAGGTGAGGTGGAGCACTCTTCCATTGTTGAAGCAAGAGTCAGCTGTCAGTCCCTGCATGGAATGGGGAAACACACCACCTGGTCCTTTATTCCAAGCTACAAACTGCTTTGGGCCAGCCCTGGCAAGGTTCATAAAAACATGTACAAGAATATCCCTGCTTCCAGGGGGAGACTTATGTAAGCCACTTCCTTCCGTTCTTATTCAAAGTAATTATTGTGTTGAATTGTATTTGGGATGTTAAGGTTTTTCATGTGGGAACTTAATTTTAATTCTCTGCTACACTTTTTATGTGAATGTTTGGTTGTTGAATGGACGAGCAAATTTTGCAAAGACATTTCTAAATTGAATGAGCATGTTGGCTAAGGGAGACTTTATATTCACATTACAAACTGACTGAGGCAAGAAGCACTTAAATTTCATGTGTGAAAGCAATCTTAATTGTTTTGGGCTTAAACAAATTAGAATTTCTATTGGATCCTTTTGGAAGTTTCAGAGACACAAAGGAAAACAATATGTGAACTTCTCATACTTTGATTCAGATACAACTCAACTGCAGCTTGTGATAATAGAGGGTCTTAACAAAAATGACAACAATATTTCTGTACTACCAATACCCATAGCTCTCCAGGTGGCTTACAATGCCACATTAAATGTAATAAAATACAATATAGATACCAGTTAAGATATCATAAAATTATAATACAAAAAGCCAAATTAAAACTAAATTAAAAATCTACAATAACTTACACAAACTAAACCATGAGACCTGTGAACCAGTTGACATAATGACTCCATGTAATATTAATACATAATAATATGTAATATTAAAGCTAATTAAATGCCAAATCATAGAGGACAGTTTTTAACCTGGCACCAAAGAATTATTAGAGTTGACACAAGGTGGACTTCAGTGGGGAGCTTGTTCCATAACTGGGAGGCTACCACTAAGAAGGCCCTTCTCTTTGTTAAGAACCAACCTCCCTTGGAGGTGGTACTCAGAGGCAGGACCCAGACCTTGGCTGTAGTGTCTAGGCAGACTGCAGTTGAGAGAGGCCTTCTGTCAGGTATTGTGGTCCCAATCCACCCAGGGCTTTATAGGTTAGAACAGGGCTTGAAAGCATACAGGCAGCCAATAAAAATGGGTCAGAATTAGAGTTATTAGACCTTCCAGTCACTGTTATTAACGTGACTGCTGGATTTTGCACAAGCTGCAGTTTGTGAACAGTCTTCAAGAGCAGCCCTACAAAGGGTGCATTGCAGTAATCAAGAGTAGACATTTTGCACGGGTGTAGACATGGTCTGGAGTAGGTCTTCAAGAGAATAACCGAACAATCGCAGCTACTGGGGAAAGATGGGCTATCCTTTTCCCTGGGTCAGTCACTAGCTACTGAAGTTAACTATGTGCTGATACAAAGTCCCAGTGACATTTGCTAGATGCAAAGTCCCTATAAAAGGAAGTTGCAATTAAGTTCTACAGGAGACTTTGTGTCCTTTTAACGGCAAAAGTGGAAATAGATTACTCTCAATAAAAGTGTGAAAAATTTCCCCCCACTCCAACCCATTTGATCCTTCTGTTTTCCTTATCAAATTCTCATCCTTTTTTATTCATTTGTTTTTCATTCATTTACATTGCTCATTTCATTATTCATCTGTTCTGTTTCTGTATCTTTTGGGCCATTGTTTTGTTTTCTGAGGCATCATGTTATTATTCTGGGACATTTAAAGAAGAGATAGAAAATGTAGCCATGAGAAACAAGTCAGAAAAAACCTGCAGGAAAACTACCATGGTTCGAATTCTAGCATATTATATGTACGGTAACATCCAGAAATGCTGGGTTTTCCAATGGTGACCAAGGGTTTTCCATTTTACAGTGTTAAGGCTGCCTTACATTAAGTCCTGAAACTTATAATGTGTCTGTTATGGTATATTCGTAGCCCTGCATAGAACTTTGTGTAGCTGAGACCATTTTAGATCATTTTCTTCATGTAGAAAAGAATCACTGGAAGACAGCTTTTAACAAAATTAATAAACATCCTTTCTCATTCAAAAAATTGCATTACATCTTTAGGAAAAATGAAAGACTTACCGCATTTCTTGGTAGAAGTGGCAACTGTATGGAAGACAAATAAGAGAAAAGGATGTGTTACAAATGCCATGAAGGGAAGAATTTACATTAGCAGTATTTTGACACTCTAATCCCTAAAAGCAGCCTAAGGATCAATTAAAATAAAATAAAATAACAAATGAGAGAAACAGAGACAGAGAGGGAGGGAGAGATTTGTCTTCTTTAAAATTAGCATTTCCCTCCTTGGCATTAAAATGTACCCAGTGTTAACAATAAGCAATATTGGTCCATAGATGCAGTATAATTATTTGGATCCAATCAACTGCTATCTAAATGGCCTATAAACCATTGCATAGCCATTGGGATGTGTGAGCAAATGTTTCTGGACTGACACAAGCTGCGCTCAGGCCCACTGAAAGTGGGTGGCCACTAGCAAAACTCTGACGTGCCTTCTATCCCTGACACTTCATGCCCCCCATTGAAATCATAGCTGTGGTTCTTCTGTGACCTGCCTTGGCAACAGCAAGAGTGTCTAGCCAGAGGAGGCACCGCTGGCTTCTCATGCTGAGCCAGGCAAAATGGCAGCTCTTCCACTCAGCGGCAAGGTGCCCAGAAACATTTGCTCAGCAACCAGGCCATGCGGTAACTGGGATTCTGAGAACATCGTGGGTTTGCTGAGACTTGGCTGTTTGCACTGATACTGGGCAGGCATCAGGCCAGTACACGCTCTTACTATAGCTCATAGCCACAAAATTGCAGCAACAAATGGGGATATTTATGTCTGTCTCAGAGAAACATTTCTCCTGAAATGAGGTCTTAGAAAACATAGAAACAAAGTGAGTCAGAAGGGTCTCCCGGGCCATCTAGTCTGACCCCCGGCTCCAGTCTTAATGCACTCATGCTTGCACTCTGCCATTGCTGCATGAATTGGAGTGTCAGGACTTGATATTCATGGGAGCCCCACCTTCAGACCCAAAATCCTTTCTTAGGTTCCCCCACCACCTGAAATATAATGGGGGTTGCTGAAGAAAGGGCCTTTGCAGCAGCAATAGCCCACCTTCAGAGTACCCTTTCCAGAGTGGGTAGCCTGGTATCCACTCTGATCTCTTTTTGGAGCCAGGCAAAGACCTTTCCAGGTTTTGAAGCTTTTTAAGTGTTATTGAGCTGTTTTATTCTGACTCCTATTAATTTTATGCAACTTTTCTAGATTGGCTGTTTGTGGATGAATGGATGGAGAGAGAGAGAGAGAGAGAGAGAGAGATGCTAAAACAGTCTATCTATATGGAACCATCTACATGAGGAAACACATTTGGATTTTTTTGAAAGCCATGTATGCATGCAGGGCTAAGGTGTCTTTTCAATGTGTGCAGGTTTGTCACCAAATGTACCAGGGGTGGTGTTTGCGGATGCTGGAGTGATGGCTGCTGGAGTGCTGTTGGTTGGTGAAATGCTGGCATGCGTGGAAGGTTTTTTCAGATCATCTGTTAGAGAATAAGTATAATGTTAGCATTCCATTCAGTTATAATGGTTCACTTATCCTGAAAAATGGTAAAACTTCAAGCATATTTACAAGTAGATCACATGTCTTATTTCTTCTTTTAAAAACAAAGCAAGAATTCTTAAGCTGCAATTCTAGGCACATTTACCTGGAAGTAAGCCCTACAGAATACAGTGGAACTGATTGCTGGCTAAACATTCACAAGATCACATTGCTAATGCGAAGGTTAGGTGCTATCCTATGCCACATTTGGGTGTAATGACAAACCATAGTTTATCATTATGGGAATAGCCTGGGCCAGTACTAGAATTGCACCCTTGCCCTCCCTCCTCCAGAGAAATGGCAAGGAAGAGTTCAGAAGCATTTACTTCCATTTTTTATTATCTGCAGCTGGTTCTGTCATCCAAAACCTAAAAACCTTGTGACCTTAAGTATAATGTATTCAAAACAAACCAACATCAACCTTTATTCATTAAAGATGCCTTGTTTCAACTAACCATAGTTAAGACTAATGACAGTTAAGGGGTGAGATGACGAGCTGCATTGTGATTCATGGAATGAAAAGCCAGAGCTTCTGACCTCCTCACAGCCATGCTGGGAAAGGAAAGGGGAAGAGCGCCTTGAAAACCTGGCAAAGCATTAAGCATCTTCCCATTCAGTGAAGGCTGGTACACAATGACATATCTCAACATCCAAATGCAGCCAATGGCTATTTTTTTCTGAGACGTATATAGGCCTGCTCTAAAAAATACATAAAACTTTTTATTGAAATATATAGAAAAGTTGCTTGCTTGTTTGATCTTTCCTTTATACCTTCAGTTCTAAAGGTGGACAATGACAACATATGTAAGTTCAAGAAAATACCAAGAGATGTGGGGGGTTTTATTCCCGTATTTATAAAAATACCCCTCTTTTTAACCAACTAAGCACACTCTATATTCTAGACAACTGTAAAACATCTGATGCCAAATAAATCTTGCCCCTGAGTTATATAAAACCTTAACACTAATACAAATATAGAAATGTCTGAAGTAGGCATAACTCTTGTGAGCTAGGATAAAGCAATGATTCATACTGCTTGGCCCCAGTTCAGCAACTATGTATTATACAAGCACAATCTATTAAACACTACCTTCAGCAACATTGGACCTTAATAAAATGTCCATTTCACTGCTACAAAATATTTATTTGGTTCACAGCCTCTATGAAAAGTGGACTCGTACAGTAGAATCCTTCCAGGAAAACTGTTACTTGGGAGTAAGTCCCAGTGACCTGTATATGACTTTCATCCTGATAAACATATATAGAATTACAGTGCTAACTATTTTATTTAAAATATTTAGATTCTACTATTCTGTATCTACAATGCAGAACCTGAAAAAGGGTCTTGCAGAAAAGATCTTCCCTGTGCATTATGCCCTTGCTGATTAAAAAGTAAATAAAGTTTGACATCTGCAGCATTTTAATATGTAAAATCCACTATCTCAACACAGGGTTACTTCCATGAATACTTCTGCACGTGCAAAAAGTAATCCATGAATTTGCTACTGATGTAGAGTTTCCTGTGTTTTTACTGGTCCTATTCATGAAACATTAGCACCAGTACAAGGTAGAATAGGTGGAGCTTTTTGTGGTATGACTGATGTTCAAGTCTCAGAATTGGAGCCAGTAAAAAAACCAAAACAAAAAATAGATAACCTAATGAGGCTTTACAGTTCTGTAAACCATTCAGCACTCTATCTTTCAATAAACAGCCTCATTTGGAAAGCAAGCAGTCCGTAATTCTGAACACATAATGATCAAGGAATAGGACTAATTGATGAGAATTTTCCCGTGTTGGGGAAATGGGATTGTAAAACTTGGCCCTCTATCTTAAAGATCCATGTCTTGATAAAGTTGAGCTGGCTATTAAGTTGACACCTTGAGTGGAAAAAGGGAAATACTTCCTGTCATAACTATGCACATTAAGCTGCCACTAAAGTTAGCAGATCTGCATTCGCATACTACTTAACCACCTTCAGAGTGAATATGTATGCCAAACATATTGTCAGTGCACTGGGGCACTGAGGAAACACAGCAAACCTGATGTTGCGTGCGTGCAGGAAGGTGAGGGTGAAGGAAGGGCAGCAGGGCTGCTGAATGCCTGAATGCTTGAAGAGTTTGTATCCATGGGAGTGGTGAAGGATGGCCTGCTTGGTGGAATAGTCTCTGCAGTAACAAAAGCAATCATTTTATTACTATTGTGGTGATGCAATGGCCAAACATTAAAAGGTCAGTAGGTAACCCTAGGTGGAAAAGAGACAGAATTGCATTCTTGATCTCTTGACGAGTCTGCTAAACTTCTTTCAATGGTGGGACGACAACATGAGTTAGGGTTAGGGTTACAGTTCAGTAGAGCTAGAAAATTTGTGTTCGTATTTTGGTTTAATTGTGGTTCCAGTCTTGAGTTGGAGTGATGCACTATACAGCTGTATATGCTGCCTGCTCATTTTTCCTACCACAGAGTCTGGCATTCCCAACTTACCTGAAAGAAAAAATAGTTCAACCTGTTCTTATGGCTTTGACAGCATTTTGAACTACTGAAAGGAAATTTATCTTTCCTTGTCATAGAGACAGGGATGATCACCTGCTCAAGTTAGCAGATCAAACTGCTGTTAAAAGCCCCAGAGCAAAAGCTGGCAACTCCCAAGCCATCATGGGACCAATTCTTGCCCAACAGAATGGGTTACAGCTGGACTGTCAGTGTCCCAGGCCATCCATGAGATTAAGGGTAAGTGTATCCATACAAAGGAGGAATTCAGCCATATGAATCCACCCACACACACACCTAGCAACTGGGCTGCAGTGATTAGCTCAGCTCACATGGGGATCCCTTCAAACACACAACTAGTCAATCAGAGAAATGCCATTATGGGTTTTCTGGGGGAACAGTTCTGTAGTGGGCCAGTGAACCAGTCTTGCTCCCTATCCTAGTCACTATATAGATTTACTTCTCATTTTCTCATTTACCTCCTCATTTTCCACTTTACTTACACCCACACTCTGTTCAATGCCTCATTCACATGTAAGGAAAACCCAGAGTATGGGTCAAGTATGGACTGACTATGGATTATAGTCTGGCTTTGTTTTCTTCTGGAACCAATGGTTACTCTTGAATCATGTGTTGTTGCTATATGTGAATCTTGTACTATAGTTAACTATGAAACAACCCAGGAAGGGATCTCATAGTTTGTTCTTGAATTGTGAGCTTTGAGTTCATCGTCATTAAAAACCCATAGCTAGATATAGAGCAGCATTCACATTTAACAACAACCCACCATCCAACAGCAACTCACAATTCAGTGACCACCCATACATGTGAACCAGGTCAGAGATTCACCCACCTCCCAATTCAGCTGTCTGGACTGCAAAGTGACCCATTGTGCATCCCATCGTGGTGTTACAAAGTCACATAACTGATGTCATTTGATTAACGTTTCTAGCCACCTACCACTTATTTAAACTGTGCAATAAAACTTAATAGTTTCCCACCTCCAGTACCCCTGAGGAACTGCAGTCTCCCTGATTCATGTGCTGTAAAGAAAACATTCAAGGCAAACCTGTGATGGTGCTGGAAAGAGAAGTAGCATTGGTTTCGCTAACAGGTGTTTCAGTAGAATTGGGGGTCTGGTAAGTAGAAACCAGGGCTTCATTTGTTCTAGAGTCAGGCTTTGCTTCAGAGATGCTTGCAGGTGAGAATGGAGTGGTGGGTGCGGGTGTGGAAGAACGGCCATAAGATGGAGAAGAACGTATGCTTCCTGTGGTGGTGGGATGGGAATAGCGACAATAAAGCAACCATGTTTCAAAGCAGAGCCTTAAATATCATGGTAAGAAATAACAAAACACCAGCAGTCTGTTCAAGCAGGGAAAATTAGAATGAATGTAGATTTAGTGACTTGTCATTCTTTCTAAACCCACTTCCATAATTTTAATTTGATATAGGGTTTAATTCTGCTTAAAGTGTAAATGAACCACTCTTCAAGCAATGTATATTCCAGGTACCATTTTCTCAAATCAGGTATCTCTTTACAAACCACTGATAAATGAGTTATACTCTTTTTCTGTACAGGGAAATATCCTTGATTTACTTGCTACTCAAGTGTAAATGGGACCATTGTTCTCATTCTTTCTTATCCAATCTTTATGCATGGAGGTGGAGGGGGGAATTTCAGGATGAAAATGGGAGATAGGAATACATTGTGTCCTGGCACGCTTACACTCAAGCAAGTAAGCCAATCGCACACACTTTTGTGTGATTTTTAGAACCTTTCTGGTCCTGTTTTGAAACATAGGATACTTCTGCCCCCTACAACCTGCCCTCCCACAATGCCAGGACTAGCACCCCACTCCCACCACCCACCCTAAACACAGAGAACCTTCTTTGCATGAAGGCTTCAAATGAACACTATCACAGAACTAGAATGCATAAAGAAAATATTATACAGATACGAAAATTATTATCTTACGAGATGAAGCAGTTGCAGTTGGACTCATCAGCAATGTGTCTAGAAAGAAAGAAAAAAGGATGAAAACATTACACTCTAAGATAAAATGTTCCAGATTTTCTCTCAGGAGAGGTTTGGTACCCTTAAGTATGTTAGAGACACACAGGGAAAGGTCGGGAAGGAATATTTCACTTGTTTATTTTAAAAGGTGTGACCTATCAGCAGGGCTACAAGCAAACTTCAACGTATTATAAACAGCAATGAAATAAAACAAATATAAGGTTCAGAAGAATCTTTACGCCATCAGCTTGGAGCCTGAAGATTACTATCAGCACAGGCCTATGCAGATGAAGCCCATGGAAGACACATGCATAGGATTGTAGTGTAATGTGGAGATGAACACTGAGGTTCTTCAGAAGGTGTTGTGTTAGTACAGATTCCTAAGCTGGTGGGAAGGGAAGTCTTCTGTGCATTGGAGGTAAGGAGTCGAAGTACCACAGAATCCATCCCTCCAGCATTCATGGACTTCCTCTTGTGCTTGGCCCTGTTTTGGCAAGTGAGCTGAACCAAGAGGAAGTGTGCAAATGTGCGTGGAATGAAGGTTGCATAACTGGCAACTTTCTCCTGTAGCACAAATAAAGGCTGCTGCACATGATGCAGAAGAGGATGCCATTTGCACAGTGTTTGTGCAGGGCATGATTTCTGGTGAGCACCATTCAAACCCCTGGTGCAGGCACCAGAATCTCAGATTCACGCCCAAGACTGAGTGGACCAGAGTCCAGGGAGCTGAGCCCAGGAAATCCAATGGATTCCCATCCCCAGAATGGATTCCTCACATATCCCTAGTTGGAGGCCACCTGTAGTACCGAGTACCACTGGGACCCAGGAGCACATCTCCAATGTGTGTGCCTGCTCCTCAAAAGGATTGCTGTTCCAGGTTGAGCACCACCATCCTGGATTGACAAGCCATCTTCCTGCAGCTTCCCTGCCTTGCCTGGGTGGTGCTTCACTCTACTGGCTCTTCTCCAGCATTGCTACTGCCTTGCTGCAAATGAACAAGAGAAATAGAGCTGGGTGTCACCTGCATGCTGGTGGCACCTATTTCCAAATCTGCACTTGTCCTCACTCAGTGATTTCACATCCATGAGCCAGTGTGGTGTAGTGGTTAAGAGCGTGGGACTGGGACTCAGAGGATCTGGGTTCTCGTCCCCGCTCAGCCATGGAGCCAACTGGGCGACTTTGGGCCAGTCACAGACTCTCAGCCCAACCTACTTCACAGGGTTGTTGTTGTGGGGATAAGATGGAGGAGGCGAATGGTGTAAGCTGGCTTGAGCCCTTTGTAGGAAAAAGGCAGGATATAAATCGAAAAATTATTTAAAAAAATGTTAAATATGCAAGAGCAAAGTGGGGTTCTGTTGGAGACCATTGCAAAATTGCAGCAGCAGTAGTTCCCCATACAACTTGCAGGAATCAGCCATCCAAATAGGAATTTACCCACCATAGTATGTTGTTTCCCACTGCAACTTAGGGAGGGTCGAGGGAGGATCGACACCTTGTATTTATTATTATTATTCATTAGATTTCTATACCGCCAGTAGCCGAAGCTCTCTGGGTGGTTCACAGCATTTTAAGTCACTCATCAAGGTTTCAACAGGCCTGACCATGCTTATCTTCCAAGATTAGGCAAGATCAGGCCCTTCAGGCTATGTGGAAGCAAATGTGGAAGCAAAGATGAGATCAAGCCTTGATCATATGGTCTTTCTTTCATCTAGTTTCTTAATGATGTCTAGCACAGTGTCATACCTATCACAGAGCAAAGCAAAGGACTTATTTTTTAAAAAAATACGGTAGAGCCTTATTTTAGTTTAACTGTGACAGCCCAGGAAAAGCTGCTGGCCTCACTTCTCCCCTTCCTCTTCTCTGTAATGCAACACACTGAAAAGTTTAGTAAGAAATCAATAGATGGCACCATAACCCTAGAAACAGAAACAAACCATGTGCGGTAAGTAAGCGTTGTAACATGGTACAGTCACCCAACCAATTGAAGAGAAGGCATTTAAACATGCAACATTTTAAAAACATAGGACAGCTGATTGCTTATCCATTATGTTTGCTTGTTTCCATTTTCCATACTCTGCAGAATCCCTGCAAAGCTTACACATTTTTAGAATTAAACTCACATCTTACAAAGATGGAAGCAATTGCCATCTTTGCAATCCAATGCCACTGGTATTATATAATTTCTTGAGAATTATCTTGGTTCTTTAACAACAGCACATTTGGATTTTTAAAAACACCAGCCTAAGTTACTGGGCTCCTCCACATCTAGAGCAAGATGGGTGCACACAACATTCACTCTAACAATTTTTCTTTCCCTGCTCTAAAAAGAGCTTTTCTACATGACACTCTTATTTATTTCTACCAAATGCAGATTAGTCAACGCAATAATTTTTCCAATTGCCATGTATGGCTATGAAATTTGAACTCTGAAAAGGGCAGATAGAAGAAGGGTGGATGCTTTTGAATTGTGCTGCTGTAGATGACTGTTGCACATCCCACGGTCTGCAAAAATCACAAACAGAAAAAGTCCTAGACCGAGTCTCATCAAAATTATCACTTGAAACCAAGATCAGACAAAGACTGTCATACTTGGGCCATGTCATGAGAGCTGACTCACCTGAAAAGTCAATCATGGCATAAAGAAAGACACTGGGATGGACATGGTGGTCTTGAAGGAAGCAGTAGGAGACAATGAGGCATGGAGAGCAATGATCCATTGAGTGGCCAAGAGTTGGACATGACTGAATGGTTGACCACAACAACAATGATGGCAACTCTTATGTATACTAAATACATCATATTTATTACAGGTTCATCAATCTGTGCGCCTGATTGTTTACAAGTTCTTGAGATGATGTCATGACCTTCCAGTTTTGCTTCTATTTTGAAAGAGTGCTTTTGGCGAGGGTGCTTGATTTGGTTTTTTTTTAAAATCAGGGAAAATGCAGTACTATTTGTAAAAGTGAAAGGAAATGCATTTTTCTACTTGTGCATATGCATTGTTCCAGTATTATTATTTTTATTATTGCATGGCATTTATTGGAAGAGACTACTGGGGGAAGAGGGGAGGGGAGGCAGGATATAACCTAAATACACACATACATACAGCCAACCTTTTTCCTTCTTGTAGAGAATGCACGGCAGCTTCCATTGCTCCATTTTATCCTCACAGATAGGTCGAGTTCAGAGTGAGTCACTGGTCCAGAGTCACCCAGTGAGCTTCCTGGCCCAGTGGAAAGTAGAACCTGTACCTGCCTGGTTCCTAGTCCACAACTCTACCCACCCCACCGGCTCTTATTCAGAATATAGAAGCAATAGCTTGTCTTAGCACTCTGATCTCAGTTCTGCTACAAAACTACAGAAGTAGCTACAGTAGATTAAAAGTCTCATGAAAAAGCCCAGTAACTTGCTGAAAGTTCTGCTTAAAAACAGAAGCAATACTGAAGGGCCAGAATATACTCTAAACAACCATAAGGAGGGAATAAAAACCTCATGTAGCAAAGGCCATATTCTTTACATATGTTTGGATATTTTATTTCAGTAAAGTTTAGATGTAAGCAATGAAATCTTTTAAAATGTTGAGGAAACAATAAGGTGCAATCCATACCAAACGTTGTAGGACCTTTTGCTATCTAACCATATATAAGATTGCAGCCCACTTGGTTAAAGTCAATATAGTACGGACAAAATAAAATAGTTATAGGCCACCTTAATAGCAGCTGAATAGAGGCTTCTGCATGTAACTGTGCCATGCACTCTGTGTTAACACTTACATGCTTTCTACTAATGTGCTGGCCATGTATGTGCAGTATTTTTGTAGTGCCCAAGTGGCAGCCACAGGCTAAAACACTTCGAAACATTGCAGAATCCTGTCATGTCATGTACCATGGCAACTTTTGATTGTCATGGTAAATAGTCCCTCGAACCCCCTGAGAATGAAATAACCAGAATATATGCAACATTCAAAGTGTTAGTGTTTGCCCAGCACACTAATCTTGTGATTAGTCCTGAAAGTCGCATTTAGGGTTAGGGAGCTGCATCCAGGTTTCACACATCTCTTCTACTGTGCCCACATCCAGCACCAATTGCACGGCACCACGGTGACTCAGTTTGCACAGAGGCCGTGCTTAAGTGAGGCCCGACCAGTTTGTAACTCCCCATCGGCTGTGTCTGTGGCCTGTCAGACACTTGACAACCCTTCTATTTCTGCAGGTCTGCGGAGGCAGCAAGAATAGCCTCGCTTGTCATACATGGCCAGCAGCCTGTATGTGGCTTTGAGGCTAAGTTGTGCAGACCTGGCATAAGCCTTGATTTGCTAGCACAGCAAGCCTTTGAACTAGACCATTAACCCAACACGGTTATCTAGGGAACTGAACTTTCATGTCACTTGCAACTGGCTGTAAATTTTGAGAACGGCGTAAAAACGCCATTATCTCCTTTTGTAGATTGGAGCTGGTCTATCTATCAAGCAATTAGGAGAGTCACAGCTATTGACTCTTTAGCTGTGTGTTTGTGGTTTCACTTTGCTTACTTTTTTTTTAGAAGCCTTTTTTTTAAGGAAGAGGGTGTGCAGTGCACTGTGGTTTAAAACATAAGTTCTTCAGAGTGGCGAAACTCGGTTGCTATAGCATCATCACACTCCAGGCTTTAGCCGATTCTGAGTGCTAAACCACAACTTCTCCAGTGCACTTGTGAAGCTTCCTGATTCACATGCTTTGTGTCAAATGCTCTGTTGAACCAGAGAGAACAGTGATGCTTGCACACCTGTGTTCACAAATGTAAGAGCCAGCTTAGGCATTTTGAATCAGCCTTATCTTGGACATGTCACAGCTATGAAGGCATTTTAGCATATGAGATTATTATACTTGTGTAAGTTGGCAGGGACTTCTAGGGTGATAGGAAGATCCCTGTTTCCAGTTGGTTGTGCTCATGATGGAAAATACCTGCTGTACTTGTCAGGTCAGTGTTACACCAACATACCAGGGTGGAAGTAAAAGTCA